TATTTTCTTTTTATTTTATTCTTACTCAATATTCAGCATCAAATCTATCAATCAAATGAGTTTTATCATATCTGGTGAATTATGTTCATTGAAAATTATTCAGAATTCACATGGAATCCGGAAATTGGAAACGGACATCCGGATCTTAACCCATTCCTTTTTTTTCTTGAACTTTATTTCTCCTTCTGATAAAATAATAGATGAGATTGAATTAGATTATCATTCAAGGTTCCAATTTGTTTAGATTGATTCAGTGACTGAACTGATTCATGAGCAATTATATTATCATGAACTTTGTATAACTTAATGAATAACCAAAGGAAAAATTTCATTCTGATTTCAGTGTCAAAATAAAGTGAAAATAATAAAATGCTTGTCACTTACCAGTTAGCCAGAGTTTCAGTAAAATATTTTATCATGAAAATACATATAATTCAATTGTAGATTGATTATCTTCCCATGATAATCATAAAGTAAATCTGTTGATTTTGTTGAATATCATCACGATGCCTCATGAGAATCACATTGACTCATGAAATAATATCTCTGAACACATTGAATCAATTCCAAGTAAGTTGAACATTGATTCAGTTTCAAATCAGACTCAAACTAAGATAAATGATGAACCTTTGAATCTTATAAATCAATAAGCTGTAAAGAAAATCAATATTCACCAATGAAAATTAAAAGGAATATAATTTAATTCTGATTCAATTGATTTGCTAATTGTCTTAATGAATGAAAAAAAACTAATCTAATCAACATTGTAATTGAGTATTCATTTTGTATTATGTTAACCTTACAAACTTATCAAGTTATATGAACATTATCATGATAATATAACATGAATCTAATGGTCATCATTCAATAAAAATTATTGAGTTTCATTCAACTGAACATAATGGATTTCATCATGACGAAGGGAAAAAAGTTCATGACAATGATAATGGATGATAATCACATTCCAACATACTAATAATAACATGGAAACCATGATAATATTTCATGAAAAAAAAGTGGAAAAACGATTTTTTCACTTTGATTCAGTTTTCGCCACAAAATTACCTCGGGCATTGAAAATTTTTCATATAAAAATGAAAGTGTCAATGACTAACATATTTTGCGAAAAAAAGTTCATGAGAAACCAGAACTTATCATTTAAAGGGTATGATTCATGAAGAAAAGTTCATTCTACTTTTCTATCAGTTGATTATTCAGCTGATGATTTGTTGTTAAAGGAAAAGTTAATTGTTTCCAATATCAATTGTATGGATATTTACTCATTCTAATCATTTATCTCTCTCCTTTGTGTAAATATCTTGATGAGATAATCATTCAGAATTACTCTGAATTACAATGAACTTTTGCTTCCCCAAAAGAAAACAAATTAACATTTGAAATTGAAAATAAACTCAATCAATTTCAATTGATAATATTTACCTTTAACTAAATCAACTCATCATGAGCTTTGATTGATTTCAAAGTGAAATGTTCAAAGTTAATCAGTTAATCATTTAATTTGCTTAGAAATCTCAAAATTATCATGAAACTTTCCGAAACTGATATTATTATCATGTCTCTCCATGTAAATATCATTAATGTTAATTGAGAAACAAAAGTTGATTCTGATAATATTACTCAGGTATTTACTATTGACACAGGTAATAATAATGTCGATTATGATGATAACTAATATTAGACAAATAATAGAAACTTTTTTTTTACTTTTTCTTGTTCATGAGAATTTTTTCTCCGATTTTTTCTTTATAAACATGAACCTTGAGGCACATCAAGTATTCATGGTTCATGAGTATTATCATGAGCCAAGTAAACAGAAAATCCCTTGAAGCTATTGGAACCATCTATCTACATATTGTTAGAGTTGATTGAGATTCAATTTTTACCATGAAAAATGTTGATATCACTTTTTATATTCATCTTATTATATAATCATATCCACGGAAAAATCAGTCTAATGAACATTTCAAAGGATCATCATGATAACTTTCATCATCCACACCCAATATTAGTCATCTATTAATAAAAACAATCACATGAAACTGGACACACCTATTTAACCAAAGTAAATCAATGTAGTATCATTTACTACTAGCAATCAATTGAGTTACAATGAATTTACCTGAATATAAATTGATTGTCACTCAATTTGAATTGGTAATCATCATGATTGAAATGATTTCTCAATCAAATTGATTATAAACATGATTGTATTACATGTTATCTTTACAGAAAAAGGTTTAATTAGTTACACTTAACAATTACATCAGTTAACTCGTAAAAACTTTTTAATCAATCACCAGTTAATTGTAAACCTGACTAACTGATTTACTCAATGATCGCCAAGACTTAATTTCTGTTGATTAAGTAAAACTATTCAGAGATTCTTGTTGATAAGTTTTCTTCACAAATATTATATAATCATCTCTCTCTCTCTCTCTCTTGATTATTGATGGTTTCCAATTTCTAAATTGTTGTCAATCAATTGAGTTGTGTGATAATGATTAGATAGCAAAGTGATTTCGTTTTTTTTTTCTCTGTCTGATTGTCAAGACAAATCATTTCTCTTCCCATGGAGAAGAGACCTAATTTCATGGTAACTCTATTGTCCCTTTTTCCATATAATATCATGGTCATCCTTCTTGACCATTATCTCCAATCCTTATCATCCTTATTTTCTTGTTCCTCATCTTTTTCTTATGGTCAACATTTCGTTCCAAGGGATTGCCTCTTAATTGCTTCAAATGATCCGTATCCCTTGATCATAAGATCATCCAGACTCTTTTATTTTCCTTTAATCATTTTCTTTTATCATCCTTATCATCTTCATCCTTATCGTCTTTAAATTACACCATATAAATCTAACAATTACCTTTATCAATATAATGCAGATAAATCTTTCCAAAGTTACTTCCAATTTTTCAGGTAAAAAAGTTATTCTTATGTCTCCAATTGTAATGTTATTTTCTTACGATTCTGTTTCTTTTTATATGATTATGATGATGAAAATCGTCATGAAGATGATTATCTTCATCTTTTGTCTTCTTTGACTTGTTTTAATCTTTTCTTGTTAAAGATGAGCTTCTCATCTTGGAAGATTACTGCTCATTGATGTGGAATGTGTCAACTACTTTAGTTTATTTTCAGTCGAGATGAGGATGTTCAAAGAAGACAAGAATCATCTCTCTCTCTCTCTCTCTCTCTCTCTCTCTCTCTCTCTTCCTGGTTAATCCTCTGTAAATTGCGATAGCCTTTTAATGGTCTTTTGAGGTAAAAGGCTAGAGGTAAGAATAGAAAGAAAAATTTTCTTTGATGATCAACCTGAGGATGAAGATGATAATTCATTAAGATTGTGAAATTGTTCATTTCATGGTGAAATCACTCATTTCTTAAACAATTGATCATCTTCAAACTTGATATAATGGAAACAGTTTGATTCCAGTCGTTAAATCAAGTGTTATAATTATTTACAAACTTGACTGATCATTGACTTATTAATATTAAACTTTTGACATTTTTACCAACAATCAGCTGATTTGTTGAGGATATTAATATGGTCTTCTAATATTAATAGAGATCAATGGCGGTAAATGAATGGCGGTAAACAATTGATTACAATTAAATTGTTTAACTGAATGAGCAACCAAACTACAAGATAATCATGATTAAGTCAAATAATTGAACAGTCAAGTCTATTGTCATTTACAAAGTATGTTGATCAACAATAATGTATTCAATATATTCACCAAGATTCAGTTGATTGGATCATCCTTTTCATCATCCTAATCATTTCCATTGAAACTCGATGTCTTCTATTATCATAAACAGATGATGACGATGCTTTTGTCCATGATAAAAAAAAAGAGATGAATATGAGAGAGAAAAAGAGAGATAATTATCATCCATTGAGCTTCCCTACTAATCATCGATATCTTGAGAATCATCATCATTATCATTAGCTCTCAGTTCATCTTCCTTTCATCATCTTCCCTCCAATATATGAGTATGTCAACAATTGCTGATGATGATGATAATGATTAGTGGAGTTACAATAAGTGAAAAAGTTCAATACATGAGGAAGATGAAAGAAGATGAGAAAAAAAGATTCTTTTCAATAGAAAGTCGGAGAGAGAGAGAGAGAGAGAGAGAGAGAGAGAGATATGAAGATAAATGCAATTGGTATCGAAACTATTTGGCTTAAGTTATCATCCTTATCTTCATCATCATGATTTACAAATGATACTGATGATTATTGGTAAATAATATTCCTTTGGGTCTTCACATCACATTATTATTTTTTTGCCTTTTTCATGATAACCTGATTAATATTATTGAACTGAGCATTCCAATGATGAAGACGAAGATGATTTTATCCTCATCATTACCATTGACAACCCACAGCATCCTCATCACTTATGGATATTATTATTTTCATGAGAACGTTTCTCTCTCACATGTTGAAAATTGTTTCCTTCTAATTAATTGTCGTTGGTTATAATTAGAAACAATATTGACCCTTAATAATAAAGGTCTTTTCTTTTCCTTAATCATTAATCATCATCACTAATTGTTTGTTGTTAACTTTACACAACAATCAATAAAGATATTTGATTATTTTTTCATTTTATTACAAGAAAAATAAATTTATCAAAGGACGAGAAACTTTTTCTTAATTAAAACCTGATCAATGTAATAATAATAATAATAATATAATACAATTAATAGTAATATACAATCAGTTGTATTTACTAATATAATGATTTAAATTGCAAATTGTTTAATCGTTGAACGTTAATGATTGTGTCGGGTCAATAAATTGGATAAATTGATTCGTATTGACAATTGTTGTCACTCTGATTGTTGTTGATTGTTATCGATAATATTGATTAACAATTAACTCGTGAAATTATTGTTATTCCCGTTTAATGAATAATTTGATTAACCTATTTTTTGTACTTCTTCAACAATCTAATCAATTCTAGATTGTCTTCATTTACAATTATATCGTGATCAAAAGGAAAGGATTAAAAGTGGATTAACTAAATCTTCATTGTCTCTGGAAAAGTTTATCGGATTAGAAACTGGATTTACTTTAGATAAAGAAAGCAATACATTGGCATTAATCTGTCAGGATATGGTCTTATTATTGGCCTTAAATTCAAGGGAAACACTTTTACATTGGCAGACAACAATTCGTAATCATCTTCCTCAAGGTAAGAAGTTGATTGGAAAAAATCAATTCTAAATTGTGTGAACAATCAAACTTATTTGTTATTAAGTAATTCTAATTGTATTGTCATTTGGATTGAAATTGATTCGGTTGATAAAGTTAATTTTTATGCTCTAAGGTAAAATCTTAATCCAATCAAGGATTTTGTCTCAATTGAACTTTTGTGTTTACATTGGAAAAACTTATCCACTGGTCAGTTTGTTTTTGGTGTTTGTCCAGAAAGTCATATTATTAAGATGACAGAAAAGTAAACAATTCAAATCTGATATCATATTTTTCATGGGTAACTTATCATTTTATTTTTCATGTTAACATGAATCATATGTTTTCATATATATTACATGGTGATTATCATGATATAAACATAAGTTTATGAACCATGAACCCATTGAGGGTAATAAGTTATAACCAGAGAGAGAGAGAGAGAGAGAGTAGGTGGATAATATGAATTTAAAGGCCTTACAGTTGTAGTTATTATCGAGAGGGTGAGTTGACATGGGAACTGAATGAAACTTGGATAGTAACATGAACTTTATTCCAGGGTAAGGAAACATGGATGAAATGAATTTGACAACGAAACAAATAGTTGTTACTCTTGAGCAGAAATCTTTTTTTTTCTTTCTCTTCTTTGTGAAGATGTAACTCTTTGTCTTGACAAAATCCACTTTGACTTTCGTTTCATGTGGTCATCACACTGGTCAGTTTTCATGTGGAACTACAATTAATATATAAGAAAGAAAAAAAAAATTGTTGATGAATATGTTGAAAGATTTTGTTGTTGACTGGAAAAAAAGGGAAAATCAAAGTTATCCATCAAATTATGTTGCTCTATTTATCTCTCAACCTTAATCTGCTTATTTCTCTATTTTTATCTCCATCACCTTCTCATCATCATCATCATCATCATCTTCCCTTGACCAGAACATCAATATCCTGTTGAAATTATTCAATTTCCAGCGAAAAGTAAACTGACCATTGGACCTTCACGGTTACACATTCGAGATGGTCTTTTCGCTCTTGTCTCTAGTAATCCACCTCGACTTTCTGGACTTTGGCATTTACCTGATCTGAGACGTTACGGTGTACTTAACGGTAAATTTTGCTTCGAGGGAGGGTCATCTTGTGGTAAAGGTAAGAATGGCACTCAGGTTGACAAGTTCGAATCATTATCGACTCATCAATCATTTTCTGAGCCACAAAAGGCAAAAACACCATGATAACCTCATCTCCTCTCATGAATCTCATGAATGAATATTTACCTTTTCTATTTCATTTTTCTCAGTTTTTTCCTCTCGATTCTGATTCATAATAACATGTTGACATTTCATGATAAATATCATGACTTTTTTTACACTTGTTCCTGATAATGTTTAGTATTAATATTGATTCAGCTTTTTTTTTATATAACAATTGTTGACAATCAACAACAATCAATAACAATGTATCTCATTAGTAGTATTACAAAAATATCACCAAATTCAATCAATAAATCACTAAGTTTATTTATACTTATGTCAGATTGTTAATTATTATATAAATTGCCATTAAATTGAATATCGTATCATAGCAATTTAATTGATGAGTATTAATCACAATTTAACTTTCATCTATCAGTAATATGTATGTTACCCTTTTACATTATTGTTGATACAATTACTTGATTGTTGTAGTATTTATTGTGATAGATTAACTTTGAAAATCAGTTCATTTTGACTTGGATTAATTTAGTAGATTGTTAATTTAATTAGATATAAAAATTGAATAAATTTCTTGCCCTAATAGAATCAAATTAATGATAAAATTAGAAATAGAAAAACATTCAATCAGATGAACTAAATAAAGTAATATTAATCAGTTAATTGTTGACAATTGATTTACTTGGTTTGTTTTTCTCGGTTTTTTTTTCTTAATTTAATTGTTCACTTTGATTCTTAATTGTTAGGTGAAGGTCTCCATGTATTACAAACCTTACAAACTGGTGAATTAATGAAAGCATTTCAATTGGCATCCATTGGTAATCTTCAACCTAAACGGAAATTGTCAACAATTAAACGAGACAAATGTAAGTTTATATTGAAACCTTTAATCACTTTAATCACTCTAATCTAGTTAACTGATTGTTTTACCAATCTCATTGTATTTATCAAGATTGAGGAACCTTAACCATTCCCATTCATTTATCCCTCTCATCCTCATCTTCATCCACCACCAAGAGTTAACATTGTAATAACAATACAATAATAACCTTCTAATGATATTACATCCTCATCCTAAATCAAACAATCAATTTAATTATGATTATCATGACTATTTGATATAATGATCATGAATCAATTCCCAAGATAATCAATGAATATGAAACAAAAGTAATCCCTTTACCACCTTATGAATAGTCAATCATGAACATGATATAATATTTGCCTCGTGAACTTTTTTTTTCATATTATTTTCCAACTCAATTAACTTATTGAAGTTTTTTTTTTATTCTAATTTTATCATGATTATATCTTTGTCTTCCCTGATGATTTTACAGGTAACAATAACAATAACCTTTCCGATAGAATCTCATTTTGCTCATCGAGCTCACATTCATCAGGAACAAGTTCAATCTCAAGTGGTAATGGAAGTTATCAAAGTTCCCTTGAGTATTCAACACCTCGTCCATCAATATCAGGTCATCATCACCATGGTCACCATCATGGTCATTCTCATGGAGGTGGAAATGGTAGTGGTCTTGGTGAATGTTCAAATTGTTCTGGTGGTTCATCGGTTGAAATTTGGTATGATAGACTTAAAATGTTACGTTCAGCTAATTCTGGTCTCATGTTATTCAATGGATGTGGTGGTGGTGGTGGGGGAAGTTCATCATTATGTTCATGCCTTTCAGAATCAAATTTAACAACAACCACACTTGATGCAACAATTGATTCAAATGGTTCAGAAAATAATGACCATCGGATTCGTAATCATCATCATCATGATACATTTGATTGTCAATCAACTGCAAGTTCAACTAATACACTTAAACGGACAACATATAATTCAAGCCATGGTTCAGAATCAGGGTCAACAAATGGAATCACCGTTGACCCAAGGGTCCTTCATAAATTGATCACTGGTCATTATCAGATACCCAAAAGTTTCCTCTGTAATCAGGTAAGTCAGCAAATTGACCACAGAAACTTGACCACAACAGTTAATTGGGATTTTCTGTTATTTTTTTTATCTTTCAGGGTAAAAACTTAATCGATTCCGAGGAAGATAAAATTAATCTGATTAATAATCTTGAAATGTATGATGTGCCCAGGAAATTTCAACAAGTAAGTTAATCATCCACTCCCTTATTCTGATTGTTACTAGTATTATCATTAAATGGTTTCCATATTGTTTGATTGATTGATTAATTGATCGTTAATTTAGTTAATCTCTCGTATCATTAATCAAATGGATGTTTGAGAAAAAGTAAAACTGTTTACATTCATTGAAATGTATTAGAATTTTTTTATTTTATTATTAGACTTTTTTTTCCAATTTTCATTGATCATGATGGTAATTTACTAGGAATTAAATTCTCGTCTATTCAGGAAGTTCAAGGACAGAAAAATAATTTACTCCAATTTCCGGTTTCAATATATTGAATAAAATTGGAGAAACTCATCATCCTAATCATCATCATCACTTTTATTACCACAGTATTTGTAGTATTGTTATTACTTTATTATTTATAATACAATGGACATGAATTGTTGAAATTGAATGTCAGGGTGATGAGGATGAAGAAATTTTTTTTTCATAAAATTGAGAAAGAGAGAGAGAGATGATATTGAAATGTTCAGTAGAAGGAGATGATAATGATGATTGGAAGAGGAAGATGAAGATGAAAGTGGAAAACAAAGAGAAAATTGAAGATGACATTGAAATTGAACAAAAGATGAGGATGAAAAAGGAAAAAAAGAGGAAGAGGAAACAAAGATAAGAATTGTTGGTGATGATAAAAAGCATCTTCATCTCTTGTAAATTGAAAGAGAGAGGGAGAAAGAGAGAGAGAGAGAGCTGGATGAAAACTTTTGGTGTTAAATTTTGTATTTGATAGACAAAGATGAGGCAAAGTTGATGAGATTCATTGTCAGGGTTAGCATTTTCATCCTTCATCCTTACATGAGGATGAAGATGAAGATGAGGATGATAAAAAGCAAAATCTTTCAGGAAAGTGAAAAAAAGTACAGTAAGTAACTATAAAAGCGATGAAAGCAAATCCATTGCATTAAATGATGATGATGATACAAAGATCATGATGATGACGAGGATGCATTTAAAAAGGATGAAAATGAATCTTCCCTCCTTAAAGATGATGAGGATGATAATAACATAGTAAAAGGTTGTCAAGTAAGTCATTAGGAAAAGATGAGGATGATGAAAGTGATGATGATGTTAATGATGACAATTGGAAAGCCTTTTGCCTTTAGGGTTGCAAGTGATGATGATGATACCTAATGAGGATTGTGATTATCATGGTTATAATAATGATGTTAATATGAATTTCAATTTGAAACAAATTAACTTTGACTACTCAGTTAATTGTGCTAATCATCATTGAATCACTATTGAAATTCAGGTTGCAATTGTTATATGAATTTTTTTTTTCTAATCAACTGATTGTCATGTTTGAATTTTGTGGTTGATTTAATTATTTTTTACGATTTCCTTTTACTTTTAGATTCATCTTAATAGTTCAACTGATTTAAAGCAATCAGTTGATTGTCAACAAGAAACAGTTAATGGTGTTAATAATAAAACTAGTGGCCTGGATAATATTACCAAACAATCAACTGTAATTAACACTGGATTAACCTCTAATTCAGTTAATTGTGAAGTGGTTGATGATAAAACCTCAAAAGTTGATTGTCCTGATGATGAGATGATCATTATAGTTAACGGTAAATCATTTGAATCGACAACAATTAAGTCACAAACAGCTGATGATAAGATTAATCTTGATCAGAAATCTGATAAATTGTTGGTTAATTGTGATGAAAATCATTCCATGGGGCAATCTAAATCAAAAGAGACAAACTTAATCAACAATTCCCAAGGATTACCAGCAATTAATTTAAATCTCAAACCAAATGGATTAAAAGTTTCCACGAATACTAATCATAAGGCTAATTGTTGTCTAATCAATCCAACAATTAACAATAATTATGCCAACATTGATTTTGTCCGATCATTACAATATTATCAAAATGTTGGATTGTTAAAGAAACAATTAAATACAACAATCAATTCAACAACAACAATTAAACCAGCAGCTAACTTACCAGAATCCTCTAGTAAACAGCAATCAACAACAGTTAATGATGTTAATCAAGTTAATTGTGATTATCTCAATCAAAAACAGGATAAACAAGATGATATTAAAGTTAATTACAACCTGATGGTTAATAAATCAACTGATTGTAACAGTAAGAATGATGATTATCTTGAAATGATACCGTTATTAATTAGTGATGATTGTAGATCTGAAAGTGATTTAAGTGATCACAATCAAACAATTTATCAATATTATCTTAATCAATATCATCATCACCTTAATCAACTTGAAAATAGTAATCGAGATGAAAATTGTTCAAATATATTTTTAATCATGAAAAAGGATCAAAGTAACAATCAACAATTTAACACTAGTGCCTCATCATCATCAACAATTAATCATAATGATAATCAAGTTGTCGGAAATTTAATTAATCCATTATCAAGATCATTAAGTGATTTAAGAAGGAAACTTTGGTCGAGAGTTAAATCAATTGATGGTCAACAATTGAGACGAGAAAATCAATTAAATCATCTATCATCTTCATCTTCATCTTGTCCATCATCACCTAGAAAATTATCATCACAATCAACTAATTATCTTAATCATGAATCAATTTCATTATCAACTTATGATGACGATGAACATTTAATTTTATCATTACCAATTCCACCTCCACCTCCACCGCCACCACTTTCGTACCTATTTGCTTGTCGTTTAAATAAGTCAATAGAATCATTATTAACCCTTAATGATGAACAATTAACTAATTGTCAGCCTAATTATCAACCTGCAAGTTTTAATTGTCACAATCATGAGCATTTAACCTCATCCGATGAGGATATTTATCATGCAAGTCAAATAAGAGTGACCTCTTCAAGTCCATTTGATTGCCGACCCATGAGTCCATCGGAAATTAAAAGGTCAATTAGTTTACCTAATGATCAACAATCGTCAACAATTAAGGATAAATTTAATCTCCATCCAATCAACATGGTTAATAATGATCAGCAATTAACAGCAACAACTAATACAATGATTAATTCACATTGTAAATCAAATGAAAAGTGTAATAATAACAATCAAATTGATGACAATTTAATCAATAACAATTTAACCCTTAATGATTTGAATAAATCGACAATTAATAATTGTTACAATCAAAATGGTAAATCATCAAATGCAATCTTAATTAAATCACAATTAACCAATGATGTTAAAGGGAAAAGTTGATCACGATAATCAAAAGTAATTAGATTAAATCATCAACTCTTTTTTTTTTAAACTACAATTAAACTTTTCAATGCCAAACCTCAAGCAATTAACTTAATTGTTAATTGGCTCAACTGATTATTTGATCAATTAAAATTTAAATGCACAATTTGTTTACTGTATTGATTAACTTAAATCAACTTTTTCTTTGTAAATTTTGACAATTGGATTTAAAATCTGTTTTTAATTGTAATTAAACTTTTGTTTCTTTAAATTAATTACAATTAGACTGACTAATTATTTATATAATATAATCAAATATCATTATAATCAAGTTTTTGTTTCATTTGCAAACAATTAAACAATCATTGTAACAATTTAAAGGTTAATTATAACGATCACATATCGTAGGTAATTGTAAATATTAAATCAACAATTAACTAATTATTTGTATCAAATTTGTAAATTGAAAGTGAAAAATTGAAATAAACTATTGAAAAGTTACACTTTCATGAACAATTTAGTTAATTATGGTGACAATTAGGATTAAAGCCAATTGAGAAATGTAATTGGAGGAAAAATAAATTGTTAGCAATTTAATAATTGCTGTTAACAAGGAGCTAATGGTCATCTCATTTAATTGGAAATCTTTTCCTTATACTTTTGGACATTGTTAAGGAGGAAGATGAAGTTGAGGGTGGAGTAGATGATGAGGAAGATGAAAGATGAGGAAGAGAAAAAGTAATTGAAAGGAGGAGGAAGATGAGGATGAAGAAGATGCTATTTAATTGAAAAGATGAGAAAATTTTTGTTCTTTTTCACATTGATTAACAATCGTGTGTGTGAATCTCCCAACTAATCACATCCGATCAGTTGATTAACCCTCAAGTAAACATGATAATTATATTTGATTACTGGGTGAGTTAATTAATCCAAGTGATTAATTTTAATGATGGAAAGAAAAATTGTTATTCAATTTTCTTTGGAACTCTTATTTTTTATCAAAAGTTCAGAACATTTTATCAAATAGTTTCCAATTTTAAATCAGAATTGAATTCATTTCCACCCTCTCAGTGTTTCGGTGAATTATAACACCCGCAGACACTTATTGCACCATGATGATGATAAAGATGATGATAAGTATGAACAAATAATATCACCTTTGAGAAGAGCAGAAAAAATAATCACAGGGTAACAATTTTTTTCTTTTTCCTCCCACCCCACTCTCTCTCTCTCTCTCTCTCTCTCGAGATAATATCTTGAGATATATTTGAACTTCTTCTTGCTTGTTGAAAGAACATCAATTTGATTTCATCTTCCTCATCATCATCGTTTAAATGCTTTCAACTGGAAGATTTATCGAAGTAAAAAAGACAGAGAGAGAGAGAGAGAGAGAGAGAGAGAGAGAGAGTAGGATGATAAAGTAGAAGATGAGAAACCAATGATAAAATGAATTCGTTGTTCATCTGATGAAGATAATGATGACCATAGGAATAGTTGTTGGCAATGGTCAAAGAAGTAGAAACAAAAATAGTTTCATTGGTCAGCATTTTATTCAATTGAAGAAAAGAGAAGAGAACAAAAATCTCTCTCTCTCTCTCTCTCTCTCTCTCTCTTACTTTTCCATCCTCATCTTTTTATCTTCATTCTGATTTCATGATACCCAATGAGAATCATCATGTTTACCTTGACAAATGTTACAATTTAAAAGTAAAGGTAAATAATGACAACTGAATTAATTTGAATCTTTTTTCATTCTTGTTTACATTTTCCTCTCTCTCTCAATCAATTTAAAAAGATCAATTCATCAAGATTGATTAACTCACCATTTTCTGTTATATTTAATTGATTTAAATCAATTGGTTGTACGATAAAGTATCACATAGATGAATCAAAATCAAAGTTAATTGTTTTGGACAACTACAAGTGCTAAAGATAAACAATTGAATTAAATACGATCCAATTTAAAGCCATTAGGACAAGTTCATCTCTGATTTACCAGTTAATTCAATTGTTTGGATTGATAATCAATCTGATAATCTATTGGTCAAATAAATACAAGAAGATTAACTAATCTGTGTATTCAACACACAGAAAATTGATCTTTCTATTTATCATCCTTATCTACATGTTAATCATGATGATAATAATAATTTTCTTCTAATTCTAAATCATTGATTGAGAACTTTCAATTCTTACATTCTCAAAAATTGATGTTATTTTTTCATCGAAATCATAACTTTTGTATCATCATGAGTTTCCTGAGGAAAGGAAAAAAATGTTCAGAACTTTTTTCGATTACAGAACTTTTTCCACTTTTCGAACATTATTTTTCCCTTCTTCTCACCTTTTCCCTGGAAAAAGAAAATCAAAAATTAGATGAAACATTTATCAAGGTAACTGTTTCCATCTTATTGACATATGAAATAATATGTTACCAGTTTACCGAATTAAATTAATCAATTTAATCACAATTTCATATTATTTATTTATTGATTTTCATCAATTTGATTTAGTTTTTTTTTGTTTCATTTTTCTTCATCTTTTTTCATGGAATATAAATTGTTCATGTTGATGGTGATTTCGTTTGATAATCATAACTGAATGAAAAGATTCTTGATTGTTAATATTATGATTTAGATTCAAGTGAATTAAGGATTGAGATTGGGAAGAAACTAATTGGTAGGATAATTTAATTCTAGGATAAAAGATTCATGATGATGATGACCAGAGATCTGGATGATTTGGATGATAAGATGGGCGAAGGTCAAGGAGATTGGATGATGAGGATGACAAGTTTTTAGTAAATTATTGAACAATCAAGAGACAACTGATTAGCTTAATTCTCTATTAATCAACTAACTATTATTGATCATCTTCAGTGACCGTAATCATGATCAAAGGTTCACTTACCATGAATACAATCATTACTATTCACATGAGAATTGGGAGTTTTCATTTTCATTAATAATTTATGGTTAATATTTTAATCATCTTATGATGATTAATATGATTATCGATTGGGAAAATAAATTGGATTAACAATTTGGTTTATTTTTGCTAATCCAATGGATCAACGTTTGTTTTGTTTCTCTCTTTTTTTTTGTTTCTTTTCAAAATATCAATTCATAGATTAGAATTTATTTTTCTAATTGTTTCCATTTTTATAATTCAATGTTGGTTTAAGTAAATTAGAATCAACAATTAGCGCAAGAAAATTTTAAGAAATTGGTAACTTATTAGACACTTGAAAACACGCACACACACACATACAAAAAACAAACCTAAATAAACAATTAGGATGCAATTAAGATTAAATTGCTATTTTTGTGCTTGTGTTTTTTTAAACTTCATCTCTGGGCTGGATGATTATGATGATGATAATGATGATAATTTTCCAGTTTTTGCTTTTACATTATGAAAATTATCAGCATTTCAATTGGAACGGATTTTGTCAGAGGTAGAAATTCAATTTTCAATGTTAATTAACATGTTTGATTAAGATGATTAATTGTTGACTAATATTTTTGTTTTCCTTCATCAGGTAAATTGAATTCACTGTTTAGTGGCTCAGTCAGAGAGATTGGAGATGTTGATGAAAATTTTTTTCTCTAATCAATTGATTGTGATGAAAATGATTTTCAATCGGATTCCATGAAAGATTACATTCAATCATTTGGAACTTTAAATTGATTGATTTATTATTTGGATGATTTCGATTGGATTTCTTTCTGTGTATAAAGATTGAATTCGATTGATTTGGTTTGTCTGAAGATGCAAGTCTGGTAATTTGATTGTTTATGGTTGTATTATGGTGACATCATCTTCATCATCATCATCATCTTGCTCTTCTTCTTCTTCTTCCTCCTCTTCCTCTTCTTCTTCGTCCTCTTCATCTTCTTCGTCCTCGTCTTCTTCTTCTTCATCATCTTCGTCAGCTTCTTCTTCGGCGACTTCTTCATCAACCTCTGCTTCGGCTTCGGCTTCGGCTTCCACTTCAGCTTCTTCATCTTCTTCGTCTTGTTCACGTTCGCGTTCGCGTTCATGTTCACGGTCTTGACTTTCTTCGTTCTCTTCATTTTCCATTTCAACTTCGGCTTCCTCTTCTTCTTCTTCCACCACATCGTGATCTGATTCATCTTCACTTTCATCTTCTTCACATGAATCAGCTGAGATATGTAGATCATGTTCTAGAGTTAGAAGAAAATAAAATAAAGAAAACGGAATAATTAATTTAAAACAAATAAATGGAATCAATTTGTACGAAATTTGTAAATTTTACTTACGAATATACTCCTCTTGTTGATATTCATTTTCTTGTTGAACTTCTTGTGAAGCAACGACCGGTAATTGATCTGGACTTGATTCATTAACTTCACTTTCTTTTGATTCATCAACAAAATCATCTTGTTCATGAGTTAAAATATCTTGCTGAGTATCATACATGATCTCTTGATCAACGATATTACCTTCCTCTAGTCTAACTTTCTTACTACCATCATCTTCTTGTAATTGAGGTCTAGATGTTGAAGGTGAGGGCGATTCACGTTGTCGTTTTAACCCTTGTCGTGATGTTTCACCAGATTCATCACTCGTTGTTACAGAGGGTTCTTGGTTTAAAGTGTTATTACTGTTACTATTTCCTTGGCTTGAAGTGATTCGTAATTCAGAGCTTTGGTTGTCACGAGTTGAAGGTACAACTTCAGCTGGACGACTGAGACGTTCAAGTTGTGGGGTTGCCTCACTTGAACTGATTGGAGGTTGATTGTTATTTGAAGAGTTTACTGGTGTTGATGCTGCTGGTGAAGGTGATGGTGTTGATGATGACATAGCAGTTGATGATAAAGGTATTGATGATGTTGATGTAGAGGTTGATGAAGACATTATTGGCTCGGAAGAAGAGGCAGCAGCAGCCGCAGCCGTAGGTGTTGGTGCCGCAACAACGGTTGGAGCAACTGTTGCCTGTGGAACAAGTTGAGCACTTTCTTCAGTGTTTGGCTGAACAGCGACAACAGCAACATGACCAGGAGTTGATGTGGTTGATCTAGAAATTGGTGGAAGCCTAGAGACTGATAATGGTCTAATACTCGCTCTAGGTGTTGGCTTTGGTGCGGGTGGTACTTGTTTCTGAGGTAAAACTGGATGTCTTACTAATCCAGTTGAACTTGAGGTTGATGAAGATGAAGATGAAGATGAAGGTGTTGGCACATTAGCTGATGATGTTCCAACAAATCCAGAGGTTGACGCTGCCGATGATCCGGTGGGAACTGTAGAGGAAGAAGTGGAACTTTGAGAATGTTGTGTAGATGATAATTGAGCTTGAAATTTTTCGAATTGTTCTTGCTGAGCCAGCATTCGAGCTTGACTTTCTTCCAGTGCTTTCAATCTATTCAATTTAATGGCACTACCTGATGAGAGAGTTTTAAATCGTAGAGAATTTTTCTTTGCATTTTCTTCAAGTGTATCAACTTTTTCCCGTAATTCGGCATTCATTCTGTTTAGATTGTCGTTTTCAATTTTAAACGTTTTCGCTTGACTTGAAGCACTTCGAGCTAATTTTTCCGTTTCTTCAAGTCTCTTCGTTAACAATTTATTCTGATTTGTTTGTGACTCAGCTTGTGAAACCAGTGTTTCTAATTCAGTGATTCGCTTGAGGAAAGCTTCCTTTTCCGCTTCCAGTGCTTTCTTTTGTTGAGTTAAGGCAGCAATTCTAGAACGAGCTTGTAAGGCCAATTTTTTAGTTTTTTCTTCCTTCTCATTAACTTTGTTTTTTAATTGTTCATTTTCTTCCCTTAATTCTTTAACCATGGCTTCCGCTTTACTCCATTTATCCTCCATTTCACGAATCTTTTTCAATTGTTCAGGATTATCTCGAAGTTCATCCTTTGATCGAGCTCGATCTTGTTCAAAGTTACTTTTAATTACTTTAAGTTCACTTTCAACGACGTGTAATCGACTCTCGGTTAATACAATTGCTTCTCGTAATTCGGCATTTTTCTTCAATTCATAGTCAATCTTTTGATGGAGATCAGCGATTTGTTTCGAATGAGCTTGGACCAGGTTTTTCGCCTTTTGCTCTTCTTCGACAAGTTTACCCTTGAAATAAGTGGCCTCTTTCTCAAGTTTCTCTAATTGTAAATATACTCCCTTCGATGATTCACTTTCCAATCGAGCAAAATTATCCTGAATTTTTTGTAACGTTGAGATTAGTTTACTCTTTTCCTGGTAATCCTTGTTAAGATTATCTCTTTCTTGGGTTAAAAGTTTTTCATTGTTACGAAGTAAATCACGTTCAGATTGAAGAGCAAGAATATTGGCCTCAAGTTTATCACGGGTTCCTTTGATTTCGGAAATTTCCTTCCTAAGAACAGCAAGATTACCTTCACTTTTAGCAAGCTTACGGCTAAGTTTACTATTTGATTCGACTAATTTGCAATTTTCTTTCTTTGTAAGCTCGAAATTTGCTTGAAGAAGTTTCATCTTCTCTTGAATGTATTCACTTTCACTTTCAGTTTTAGCCTTTTCAGTTTGTACCAACGCCAATTCTTGACGATAGTGGCTAATATCTTCATTTAGCTCCTTCATTTTCTGCTCATAGTCAGCCTTGTTAGCAGTGGCTTCAGCTTGAATTCGGCGGAGAGACTCTTTCATTTCAACAAGTGTTTCATTCATGGTCATCCTACTAGAATCTGAATTAAAACCAGGTGATCGTCTATTTGATTCATCAGATTTTGCCATTGACTTAAGGGTACTCTTTGCTTCCATTAATTCTGATAACATTTCAGCTTGTCTTCTTCTCTCCTCGGTTAGTTTACTAATCTCTTCAAACGCTTTACTCATTTCTTGCTGGGAAAATTGTTCTTTCTCCTTTAATTGGTCAACTAGCCTTTCATTTTCAGCGGCAAGATCACGAATAGAAAATATCAATCGTTGATTGTTCACTTGAAGAGATGTAATATCATCAAATGTCACAAGATGTTGGGTGATTATACGATTAGCAGCACTTTCCTCGGTTTCTCTTTCAGGAACATTTTCTTGTCTAGCAAGTTCATAACCTTTAGCCTCATGAACTGTTGCAATGAGAGATCGTACTTGTAAAGCCAAATCGTGTGAGGTTTGCTCAAGCCGAGCGATCTCTCTGTTGAGATAATTGGTCATCTGAATGAGATTCTCTTTCTCCTCTATTAGGGAATCCTTTTCATTGGTAACTTTGGCCAATTGAATTTGAAGATCTCTAATTGTTTGTAATGATTTTCTCGATTCTTGAACTTTCTGGTGGATAAAGGGAGTCTTCTGTTCAGCTTCCTCAATTAATTGATTCAATTGTTCCTTAAGACGATTATTTTCAATCTGAGAGGCATCCAGTTTATCTTGTAAAACAATATACTCATTGTAAATTTGAGATAAAGACATGTTACTTTTGAACACTTTATGGGTCGCCGATGCTGTTGGAAAATAATGATCAACCTCTTCCTCCAGATCTTCTTGAATTTTGGCCACTGCTTGAGCTTTTAATCGGGTTATTTCATCGTCCAATTTTTTGATAACCTCATCCTTGAATTTAATCACTTTCTGAGATTCCATTGTTGCTCGAGTAAGAGTTTCTTCCAAATCTTGTTGGGCCTGTTGACCATCTAGAAGAAGCTTTTGCATCTCCTCGATTGTATCCAAAAGCTGTTGATTTGTTTTCTTCTCCTTCTCATAAGCACTGGAATGATGTGAAGCTAAACTTTTCATCTCTTCAATTTCGGCTTGATATTGTACTTCAAATTGAACACTGGCATCATTGATTTCCTTAATTCGTTTGGCCAATGAATCAATGTGTTCATCTTTCTTATCTGTTAACTCTTTTAATGTTGATAATTCTTCTTGTAATTTGTTGATAATATCATCTTTTTCATCTATAGTTGATTGCATTTCAACAAATTGGGCAGCTTTTTCTTTACGAATGTTGGACAATTCACTTGATTGATTATTTAATTCAAGCGTAAGAGAATCAACTTGATTTTGATAAAATTCTCTCTCATTGGCTATTCTGGTCATTTGGTGTTTAAGTGACATCTCTTGTAATTCAACCTTTTCAGCTTGAAGAGATGATTCTTTCTTATCTTCGGTGACGGCTTCCAATTTTTTACCAAGCTCTTCAATTTCGGTTTGCAAAGCATTAATTGTTGTTGATTTACTTTGCATTAAAAATTCATTATTCTTCTGCTCCTCTTGAAGTCTTCTCACATTTTGCTTAGATATTTCCAATTCATGGAGGAGACTTTCTTTTTCTATGGGAAATAATATTTATAGACAGAGAGAGATAGAGATGAAAAAAAAGAGAGAAAATAAACAAAATAAAAAGCGATTAAAATTAGCGTTTACAAAAGAGAAAAACATGTTTAAACATGTATAGAGAAACAGATACCAAGAATGAAGAATAAAATTAGAACATGGTTACAATTAACTAACCTATTACAACATCATAATATTCTCGGCGAGATTTTTGTAGTGTATCTTCAACACTTCTAAGCTGTTCTCTCATTTTAAGAGAAAATTCTTCAGCCATTTGGTGTTTAACACGATAACCATTGATTTCCCTTTGCCGATCTCTCAGATCAGCTTGTAATTGTTCACATTTCTCCGTAGTGGAAGAAATTTGATAATCTTTCATCCTAAGGAGTCCATTTAGATTCTCCCTTAAATGAACCGGCAGTGAGTCAATATCATTTTGAGGAATAAGGTTGACCAACGGATCGGAAACAGAGACCATTTCAAATCAACTAAAGAAAACAACATATATAAATCAAAATAGAACATAATAAACAAATTAGAATCACAAATAAAAAGAGAGCAAATTAATAAAAATTGAAATAAATTCTCAACACACAATGAAAGAAACGAGCGGTTACTTTGGAGAAGAAAAAAAAAGATAGAAAAAAATAGAAAAATACTAACGGACAAGAGAGAGAGAAAAGGTTTACCTGTGAGTTAAATCGAGATCAACGTAGTCCAAATTAAAAGCAATTAAAAATTGGACAAAAAGATAATTTCCAAATAATAGAAAAAAAAACAAATGTATCACAAAAATCAACTAATTAAACATTAGAAAAATTAATTAACCAGACAAATAAAAAGACAACATTTTCTAAACGCTTCTAATCCCAAATGGAAAAGACAAATGTGATAAATAAGAAAACTTGCTTTGCTAATTAGTGCAAATTCCACGGAAATATTGACCAATCAGAGAAAAGAATTTTTTTCTATTCTTTTACTTTCGCCATCTGGTTTTTCTTTTCAAAACTAAACCATTTTCTCTTCTCTGTCAATTGAAATTGTTTGTTTCCTTTTCTCTCACCATTTAAATTGTATATTTAATTTGTAATTTAACTTGTAATTAATTTACTTTAAGAAATTATTGTTCATCATTAACTAATTTAATTTTAAAATTGTTATTCTAACTATGGGTAATATTAAGAAATTGGATGGACATTTTATTTATTACAATTAGATACCTGGTGATGGCTGTTTAAATTTCTCTTCTCTTTTTTTTCTCTTTCTTTTTCTTTTCTTTTTCCTTCTCTTTCTCTCTATTTTCTCTATCTCTTTTTCTTTATTTCTGCCTTTCTTTTTCTCTTTCATCATCCCCCTCATCTCTCTTTCTCTCTCTATGTGGTGAAAACATGGATTCAACTTATTGCTGGTGAGTTGCTTTTCTTTTTTTTTTGTTTTGCTTTACTTCTTTTGATATATGATAAATCTATTGTCTGTCTGGTTCTTTTACTTGTACTCTCTCTCTCTCTCTCTCTCTCTCATCGCTCCTCTTACCTTCTCATTCTATCTGTACATTTTTACGTGTTATCTTTATGTTATTGTTTTAATTTTGCTTCTCTCTGTGTCTTTTTTTCTTCGTCTCTTTCATTGTTTTGTTTTTTTTCTTTCTCTTCTCTCTATTTATGTTGTGTTTAAACTACAGCGACTCTCGAGACTTGGAAAACCTTTCATTTCCTTTATTTGATCCTGAATGGAAGGCAAGTGAAGAGGTTGCATTACTTGAAGCTGTTGAATTGTATAGCTTTGGAAATTGGGGAGACATTTCTCTCTATATACCTGATAAATCAACCGAAGAGATTAAAAAACATTTCATAGACTGTTATATTAAAGGAAATCTTGGTAAACTAACATGGGACTCGGTTAAGTCTAAAGTTCATACTGTGGTTGATCATACGTCCAATGGAACCATTGAAGGTCCTTTATCCAACATATTGGTTCAACCTTTACCACCAATTAATCAATTAACTCCGGCTCAACAGCAACAACTGGGATATATGGCAAATCGTGATGATTTTGAAAGAGAATATGATAATGAAGTTGAATCATTGGTAGCAGCATTAACCATGAACATAAAAGATGAAGATGATCTTGATAGAGATATGAATCTTGCATATATTGACATCTATAATCGTCGATTAGCCGAAAGATTAAGGAGAAAATATATTGTTCGCCAATACGGATTAGTTAATTTATTTTTCAAACATTTGGAAGAAGAGAATGAAAAATTAGGCCGAGAAGTGTCCAATGAGGAGAGCATAATTAAATCACGGGAAGTCAAATCAATTGTTAAAGAAGAACCTCCATCAAGTCCACAAAACGCTAAAACATTACTTCAGCGAAATAACAAAAAAGTGCAATCCACCGGAGTTACAATGAAAGAAAAGAAACTTCGTGAAGGTTTAAAACCATTTTACCAATTTTTAAATCGTGAACAATTAGATGAATTAGTAAATAATCTTATTAAACAACGAGAACTCATTATACGAGCTAAAGATCTAAATAGATTAAGGCGAAGTCGACGAATGAGCTTCTCAAAAGCACTGCCAGCTCTCTCTAGTAAAATAAAGAAAGAGGAAAGAAAAGATGGTATTAATTACGAGGTAAGATATTATCCATTTAACTGGAAATAAATTCTCTCCCTCCTTCAATCTTTCCCATTGTTTTCTATCCTGTTTGTTATTCTCCTTTCCTTTTAAATTTAAATTGAGAAAATTAAATGTTGTTCAGTTTTCAGGTTTCCGGAAAAACTACTGGCTTCGCTCGCAAGGCAACCTCCCTAGGAACAAAATTAAACGAAATGACCCCAACAGGAGAAGCGAAAAGTTTAATCATCAAAACGGAGCCAAAGATGTCAACAACAACCACAACAAAACAACAAGGAATCACATCAAAAGGTTTAAAAGTTTACAGCTTGGACCATTCAGGTCGAAAAGAAAGAAAAGAAAGTCACCGTCATAGTAATAGCCATCATGTTAAAATGCGATCATCAATTAGTTCATCAACAGCATCACCGGAAAGTGATAAAGCTCTTCTAGAGAAAACAAGTATTACCCTTCGTTCAGGTTGTGAGTTAATCTCTGAGAAAGAGCGTAAACTCTGTTCAGTTTTACGTCTCTCACCCCATCAATATATTAACCTGAAAACATTAATAATCAAGGAACATCTTAGAGAACGAGAGAAAGGTAAATACCGATCAACATTGGAAAATATTGATGAAAATATTCTCCGTAAATTAACATCATTCTTCTATAAAAATGGTTGGCTTCGATATGGTCCATGATGTAAAATAAATTATTATTATTATTTAGCCAAAAAGAAAAGGAAAAATCATAAACAATTACAATTACCATCATCATCATCATCATCACCATTACCACAACAACTTCATTATCATTATCACTCCATCATCAACACCTCTACTCAAATTTGTATTTTCCAACAATCTCGGTGTTCAACAAATTCCCTCTCACCTATTTACCCTTTCACCTTCAACCTTTAGAAAAGAAACTTTTCTTTCGCGTTTAAATCCTACCCTTAAGATCACTTTTGTGATTAACTCTAATCCCCACTTTCCATGGAAAACAAAAACCCACCAAAATCTTTACTCTTTTTTTTATACTTTCGAAGGAGCAAAAAAAAACCTTCTCTCTCTCTCTCTCTCTCTCTCTTGTCCTAATCTTTTTGTCTCCTTCTCATCAAAACTGCCTCGTAAATTACAACAAAAAAATATTGTATCAAGTATAATAATCAATTTGTATAAATCAAAATTAGGGTGAGTTTTTATTAGCTTTAAAATGAAATCGATAACAAATTTAAGACCAATATTTATGTATCAGAAATGACAAAAAAAAATTTCTCTTCAATCTCACTCTCTCCCTCTCTCTCACTTGTAAAAACAATTTTAATACTAAATAAACATAAAATGATCCAATAAGTTAATTATCACCACTAATCACCGATCAATTATCATTTAAACTGTGTGAAGTATCTGAAGATAATTAGTTACGTCACAATGATTAACCCAGCGAAAGAAAAGAAACTTAAAATATTTCTAAATTATTCTTACAATTGATTTTCTCTCACTCTTTTTGGATTAAAGTAATTAACAATTAATAGCTAATTTAGAATCTAAATTTTTTTAGATTAACAAAAAAATAAAAAATAACAATCAATAGATAAATAAACAAAACGATTATTGTTAATGAACTTTAAAAGAAAATCAATCTTGATGTTTTTGTTGTTGTGATTACAATTTGTGTTGTTAATCTTGTAATGGTGGTAAATTAATTATTGTTTGCAATTGTGTTGTTAATTGTTGTTGTTGTTTGGTTTTAAGCTTCCAAATCGTGGACAAATAAAACTTCAGATTTTCCCAGTCCAATGGATTCAAATGTTAATGGACCGTCATTGTTACTAATATTACAAAAGTCACCATTGGTTTCATTGCACTCAGTGTTTTCTAGGGTTGGTGGACTTCCGGGTAAATTTTTCCTAGGAAAATTTGTCGTTATCTGAAAATGTACGGGAGCTTGTTCATGACAGAATACAAAATAATATAAATATTTAAGATGATCGGTTTTATGGTAACGTCTCTTTAAACGTGTTCCATTTGGTAGCTTGATTACAACTCGTATGGCATCAGGATCGGATGATGAGGGTTCAGGGGGAATTTTATCAGCCAGAGTTACTTTAAGCTCTAATAAACGCTCTCGTTGTTTAGCTTCTTCCATTTCTTTCTGTTTACGTTGTCGTTCCTCGGTTTCTTTTTTTAATTTCTCTTCTTGCTTTTTACGATCTTTCTCTTGGTCGGCTCGTAATGATTCCATGTAGGCCTCATCTTGTTCTTGTCGTATTCTCCTATTCATTATACGCTCTTGAAGCTCCAAACTAGCAGCTGATAAAGTATCTTCGTTTTCCTCGATTCGCGGTTGAGTATTACTATTGGTTTCGACGATGTTAACTAGATAACATAAAAACAAATAACAAGAAAAGGAAAATAAAACAAGAAAAAGTGAAACAGAGTCAGAGAAAGAGTAATAGAGAAAGAGAAAGACAAGAGAGAGTAAAAAAGATACGAAAAATTTTAAATATAACAACATAATAAAGAGGTTGTTAACAGGAGAAGAAAGGAAAATAGAAAGTAAAGTGAGAGAGAGAGAGAGTTTAACTCAAAGAGTTAGAATGAGAGACCAGTTAAATATTTCGACCAGGGGTCGCTTTCGCTTCAACGCTCACAACAATCGCCGATTCGGCCTAAGATTAGAATTAAGATATTTAAATATTTTCCTGATGGATTTTTAATCTCCAATTAATGGGACCAGATTATTTCTTTCTGCTAAATGAATCTAAGACTTGGGGGTAAATCGCTAAGACTGGGAAAATAGTCCAACTCTTTTTCTGACCCAACTACTTGTCATATCAAAGTTGTTCTTAATTTCTATCGATAGCTAATTGTCCTTTCTGTTAATCAAAATAGAGAGAAAGAGAAAAAAGAAACGAAAGAGAGAGAGAAAGAGAAAGAGTTTAGAAAAGATGAAAAGAGAGGGAAGTAAACAGAAGTGAGAGAAAAAAAAGAGAATAAACTTACTTCTACGGATAAAATTCCAAACCAATTTGAGTGCACCGAATGTATCGTAAATTAATTGCAAGGGAAATGTGATGAATCTAGCGACAGTACCCATCATTAATAACGAAGACAAAACAAAAAATTCAAAACATTGAAATAATTTTCTGGTTTTCAAAACAAAAACACAAAAAAAAAGCCTAAAGATCAAAACAAATCACAAATTTCTAATTTCTACTGCGCATGCGCAAACACATGCGCACCGAAGTTCGACAATTAAATCTTGAGATGAGCGATCATTTCAAATAATTTTCCAATCAATAAATCTCATTAAATTTATCAATTACTTAGTTCGAAAATCAATTGAAAAGTTGACCTTTGCCATTTAATATTTTCCATTGCATTTATCCTTCAATAGAATTTTAATTAATTATCTTGTTTAAAACTCTTTCCTTCGTTTGAAATGTGTCACTTATCGATTAGTTTCTATTCTTTCTCATAGATGGCAGGAAATTCGGGTTGTCACAAATTCTAATTTCATTTTAATTGTTACTCTTAATTGTGATCAGTTGAACTCAATCTAATTGTTGAAACTTTTTGTTATTCTTTCAATTGAAATTTGGCCAATTCGCTTGTTTGATAAATATCTTCATCTTTGATTTAATTTGATTTGTGAGGTGATGGATATGAGAAAAGAGTGACAATCTTTTAATTATTACTAATTAGTGATTAATTTTGTTAATCTGATGATCAAGATAATCAGAACAATGATCCGAATTGATAATCAATGGTATCAGTATCTATTTTTATTCATCATCATCTTGACAATTTAGTACAATGTTTACAATCAGCTAATAAACACTGAGGGTCACAATTAACAATCAATTGTAATTGTTGCAGTTTCTAATCACAATTAAGGTTAACCCAATGATTTTCACAATTGAATGAGTAAAACAAACAAATATCTTAATCCAATTGAATTAAATTAAATTGGTCAAGGGTAGATATCAATCGTAATGATGGTTAATTGTTGGTAATAACAATTAAGATTGATCAACTTGTATCTTGATCAAAATTGAAAAGTAAAACTCATATTTTTTTTATTATTATAATTATTATGATTATAATGATAAAATGAAAACCTAATTAAGTCTAATTGTAATTAGCTCAACCAATTGATGTTCAATCATGAAACAATCATTGTGACACCATCAATCATAAACAATTAATAATAATTAACAAGATGATCAAGTCTAAACAAGTAGTTAACAAGCTTGTTTTTCAGTGTGATTAATAAACTAATTAGTCCAAGGATGATTAAATCTTGATTAAATTGTAATCAACAACGTTGTTCAAATCCTAATGGTAAATATTACTTGAATTGTTGTAAAACCAACAATTAACCAAAAATTTCAATCAAAACCGTATCTTAATTGTAAGTTTAATTAAAGTCAAAGAAAAATGTTTTCAATGTTGATTGTGATTCCAAGATTTTTAATTGTTGATAATTTGATCAGTAATTTTGTTTATTATTATCATTTATTGATAAAAATGAAAGAATAGAAAAACTAATTGTTGATTAATTGTTAATTGCTTGAAGGTAAGCCAGATGATTAAGTTATGATGATTATAATAATTTAAAAATCATCAAGTCTTTGTGATTAAAACAGGTTTTAATTGTTAATCAGTTAATCACCTTGTAAGATTTACCTTTTAATTTGATAGTTTAATCATTATCATTGTGAATCAAGTTAATTATAAATTGCTAGTTAGCTAAATTACCATTTAAATTAGGTCATTCCCGTAAATTAAACATACTAACAATCAAGAACAATTGAAATCAAAGTGAAAGTAATTTAATGAAAATTCAAACAAAAAGTTAAATCAAAACCGGAAGGTAACAATTTAATTCACTTCAAGGTAACAGCAATTAAATCAAGTACAAATTAACAATTAATACTCAATCCGATTGGTTTTTATTTTAAACATCATCAATTGTTGACAATAATTTTCAGATCAACAACAACAATTAAGGGTAAACAAGTTTAAAACAATTAAACTAATTGTCGAAACTTTTTTTTTGCAAAAAGTTTCTGAGCTACAATCAAATGATAAATGATTAGTTTACCTTAAATTGTGATGGGATGATGGCAAATATAAACAATTAAATTAAATCATTGACCTTCGATAATTAGTTAACCAAACAATTATCTATCTGATAAATTAATTGCTAATCACAATAAATGATAACCTTCAAAATTAATCTTGAAATCCAAATCAACAATCAACATTTACTCATCTAGTCAATTAATGTCCATAGACAATAACCTTCATCATAATTAATTAAAACAATTAACAAATTAATTGTTAATTGTGGCCCATCGGTAAACATATATTTTAATTAACCTTCAAGAGTTTTAATCATTAACCTAAGGGATAACATCTTGTTAATAAAAGTGATTAAACTGATGTGATTTTAAATTAGCTAAATAATTTGAAACTTCACATTTTCCCGAGCTAATTAAATGTAAACAATTAACTAATTACAATCACCTTACCATAAATATGATCATTGAACAGTTAAAAATTACTATTGGCAAGTCAATCAAATTATCAATCAAGTTGATCAAAGTATCAAATGAATCGACTGACCGAATGGACCAATTGATTTGATTATCGGCTAAATTTAGTCATTGATTAACTGATTAGTTTGATTGTGATTAAAAATTGAGAGGGAAAAGTTGATTAAGAAAAGTATTATCACCTTGGAGTTTGAAAAAAAGTTTCCGAGTTTTTTTTTCTCGTCGAATTGAAAAAAAAAAGTTTCGACCTTTTTTTTTCTTGGTTGTTCTTGAATGTTTATCTTGTTTAATTGTAAACAATTAACTCATGTTCCTATTCATTGAATGAAAAAAAGTGTCAAGATCATTCAGGAATTAGAATCAAGGTAATCATATAATATAAAAGTTAACATGAATTCACCATGGACACTTAATGACTTCCGGATTTCTTTTACCTTCACAATTAATACTCACAATTAGAAATGAAAATTTTAACATTGATTAACTTTTCCGTGTTATAACTAATTGACTAATTTAATTTTTCTTTCTCAATTAACCTTAATCATCAAAACACACAAACTGACCATAGATACAAAACAAATGACCACAATTAAAATTAACCTTTTCTTTACATTCAATGATAAAAACTGAATTAACTTTAATTCTCAACCATTTTTCTCAGTCTAAATCACTTTAAGTTTCCAACAATTTGTTAATCATTTACACTCATCATTATTGTAATATCAATGAGAGATTAAGTTAATCCAAAGATAAGATTATATGTTCAAATATTGGGACAATATTATTAATAGATAATTAAATTCATCTCAAATCGATCACTACAAATGATATTAATTGAAATCGACGCGAAATCAATATGTTTGCCTTTGTATCAATGTGACTATTTAGTTGATTGTTGTTAAATCACTTGGGTTGTAAATTGTCTGAGTTAATTATTACCATTGACCTAAAAAGAAACAACAATTTACAATCAACATTTGTAGATTGTGAATCAAATGAAACTGAATAAGAAATGAATCTTTTTTATTTTCATGAAAACTTTTTCTTTTCCGAATCAAATGTTTTGTCACTAAAAATCATGAACATTTCGACAATTGCGACAATCGTAACAGTTACAATTTAATCAACATCACATCATGGAAACTTTTGAACATTTGATTAAAAGTTCAGTGATGTTGATTGTTGTGATCTTTTCGACGGAAATAAATTCACCATTCTAACCGATTTTCCCTCAACGATGATTGATCATGTTGGCGATTCAATTACATGCACATTCTGATGAACCTATTGAACACCACATAGAATTGTACTCATAACAATCAAATTTGATTGTTTGCCGAGTTAGAAAGATAATCTTAATTAGCAATAAATTCTTCAACGAGAAAATCATCTTCTTCCTCTTCCATGATAAAATCATCACGTGAATATTTCATCTCGTTCTGAACAAGTAAGAGAGAGAGAAGGAAGAAAACAAGATGATAAAAGATGAAGACGAAGAAGAAAAAAAAAGAAACTAGAAACTGGCAATGAACTGTAATCACTAAGAAAAGTTCATTGACTTTATCATCTTTCATCTCTCTCACTTTTCATCATCATCATTATTATCATCATCTCTCTTCAATTATCCTCAATTTAATTAGTTTTAATTGGAAGCAAGAAAATAGCAATAACATGAAACTGGAGCAATGATTGTCCTAGATGATTCAAGGAATCGTCAAATTTAGTGACAGTGATGAAGATGAAGATGAAGATGAGGATGACAAGGATGACAAATAATCAGGTAAGATATTAACTATGTATACATAAAAATACGTATTTGTGTTTACATTATCATTGTTATTAAAAAGAAAACGAGGATTTAATGTGACCTCAAATGAGTTTCATTTCAGCTTCCGCGTTTAATTTGATGATGATAATGAGGGAGTTCAAATGAAAATGAGGACGAGTGAGAGTGTTGATGATAAAGGGGGAGGAGGAATTGATGATAGTTACATGTGATTCTCTAGAATTCAATTTAATTAGACCAACGAATGAAAGTTCAATCTCTCTCTCTCTCTCTCTCTAGTTAATACCTTCTCCATCTATAAGTGTGTATGAGAGTGAGACAATTAAATTAATCATCATTATCATAACAATTATCATCTTTATCATCATCATCATGTTGATTATCATAACAAAATCAAATTGTTTTCATCCAGCAAAAAAAATGAAAACCTTAAAATTTGAACCCAACTGAAAATTAAATTAAATTGTGTTACCCGGTCAAAGAAAGTTAATCAACTTAAAAACAAACCTTTATAAAACTTAATTGTCTCCCATTTAGTTTAATTGTTGAACCTAATTTATCAACAATAATCAACTAATTTGATTGTAGTCAATATCCATTTAAGGAAGTAAATAAAACAAAATCAACTCGATAATGTATTTAATAACTTTTCATGACAATCTTTTAATTTTTCAATTTGTTTTCAATATTACTTTTCTGTTGATATTTATTATTGATCATAACTGTTATTATCATGTTATTAATTAATTGCTCAGTTAATTAATTAATATAAATTAATGTTTCTTCCCTGGGTGTGTGTGTGTGTATGTATGTTGAGTCTGTGGCTTAAGAAAAAAAAATTAATTGAGAGGGAAATTCAAAGGAAAAAATTAATTAGCCAATTAATTGGCAATCAAATTTGATTTCAACAAGGAAATAAATATTGTTGATGGTTGAATATGATTCATTTACATTGGATTATAATTAACAAAAAAAATCAGAATCAAAAAAAAACCCTTGGAGGTAGAGATGAGGTGAGAGTGGGGAGTTGGTGATGATGATGATGATGATGATAAAAGGGGTAAAATTCAAGGTCTGTCATCATTTAATTGTTGTTGTTTGTTGATTGTAATTGTTGATTAAAGACCTTGATACAAGATTTTAATGTCTCTCTATGATATTTCTTGATGATTGTTGATGTTTGTACATTTTGTTGAGTGTGAGCATAGTTTTTGTATTGTAATATTTGTGTCCAAGATTAAGATGATGATAAAAATAACGGTAAATCCTTTAATCGAGCAGAAATGATGACGATGATAATATAATGATATTATTCCCTCAACTAATCAATTAGATTTTAATGAGATTTTATTTTTGCTGTTGAGTTGATGTTTAATGAAAACTGTTTTCGCAAAATCCATAGAGTTAATTGTTTGGGCTATTTCAATGATTTCACAGGTAAACAAGATCCCGTTTACGACTTAGATCCAATGGTGGTGGCATTGAATCACCTCGAACTTGGACATTATCACCATTATGGGTCATCAGCCCGACGACACCATTATTGGCACTTCCACCATTGGCATTACCTTTCATAATTAGACTGTGCAAGAGATCACATTTTTTTATGGATGTGTAATTGTTGTTATTATTATTGTTGTGGGGAGGTGATGATGAATTAGGATGACGAGATGATGGATGATTAGTTGATAAATCACCAATATATCTTGGTGCTGATTCCAATACTTTAATCAAAGTTGAATGTGTTGACGCCAATGAATCATTATTATTATAATTGTTGCTTAAAGGTGATAATGATGATGAAGATGATGATAGGGATGAGGTTGATGAAGATAAGGAAGATGATGAAGTTGATGTTGGTGATGCTAAACAATGATTGTTATTACTGTGGACAATTGATGTGCTCGAACTTGCTGGTTCACAGTCTCGAGAGGTTTTCGTTGCTCGAAACTTTTTATGATGTCGATACGCTTCATCCATCAGCATATTGGTATTAATCAATGGAGGCGCTTGAAGTGCTCGTTTTAACATTGGCATATCATCAATTGATTCATTGGTGGTTATATTTTTCTCTGAGAGTGTTGAACACTCAGAATCGGAGACAATATCTTTCACTTTATCATCGCAGGCAGATCGAGGACTAGAACAGACTGAGGCTGTCGGTGTGCTACCATTACATTGCTCTTTACCGCTTTCGATTCCCGAATCGGTTGGTGAATCAACTCGACGCATCTTTGTAAATACATCATTTGAACCATTATTGTTACAATAATTGTTATCATAATTGTGATGATTATTATGATTATGGTTCAATGAATTGATTGGACTTTCTCGGGATGATCCATGATTCCTGTTAATCATTATATTTGAACTTGAATTATTTGTATTGTTATTTGAAGATGACGATGATTGAAGTAATCGTTGACCAAGAATAAATTGATTCGCTATCGATGAACTTGTATTATTATTATTATTGTTACTATTTTGTTGATTGTGACCATGATGATAATTATAATCACCATTTGAATAGTGATTAACATTATTATTATTTAATCCATTGGCACTTTTATTTGATTTACCAATCAAAATGTGATCTGATGAGGTTACACTGTTCCTATCATATGATAAACTTTCATCTTCACCTAATCCATATGATGAATTGTTATTGGTGTTGGTCAATCGAGATGGTTGTGAGTAAGAAGATGATGAAGATGAGGATGAGGATGATGAGGATGTGGGTCCATCATTATTGTCCCGAATCGTGAAGTTTTGCCATTGAACGGGTAATAATGAGGCATATGAACAGGTAGATGTTGAATTCATATTTCCAGGTGAGTTACAATTTCTATCACCATTTGAACTACTATTGCTGTTACCATTGTGATGATTTAATGAAGACATTGATGATGAAGATGAGGATGATATTGATGATGGTGTTGGAGATACTGATGAGGATGATGACGAAGATGAGGATGAGGATAAATTATTGTAATTTTGTCCATTTTTAGGACCCATTTTGTAAGCTAATAGTTTATCTGAGTGGAGTTGATTAAGATTTCTTAGATCGGTGATTTTGTTGATTAGTGAATTAAATAATAATCCAGAATTTGAGGAATGATGATTGGCTTTGATTGATTGATTAAGGAGATCAACGCATTTACGATTGATTTTATCAACTAGATCAATATTACGAAGACCGGGTCGATCTAATTGTGAAGAGAAAAAAGAAAAGAAGACAACAATTAACAAAATACACTCACAATTAGTTTAGAAACAACAATTAAGGTGAACTTTAAGATTGACTTTGTTTGGATTGAGTTGATTGAGAGAAAAAAACAAGAAGAAATTAAGTAAAAACAAAAACTATTGGAGATCACAATTGGTTAATTGTTACAATTTATTGTTAAATTAGTTGATGATTGAATCTGATGAAGATTCTTGGTGAATTAATTGGGATGATAGAGATGAAGATGAAAAGAAAGAAAGAAAAAGATGAGAAAGTGAGATGAAGTAAATTGTTGTTCTAACAATTAAACTAACTAACTAAATAGTGGAGGTTTGTAGCAAGGAAGCAGAATGAGGTGAGGGAGAGAAAGGAGAGGGAGTGGGATTTAGGAGAGAGAGAGAGAAAGAGAAGATAAAGGAAGAAAAGTAAGAGTGAGATCTTTTTATCGATGAGCAGATGGATTGGAGAAACTCCAAGGTAATAGGAAAAGAGAGAGAAAAGAAAGAGAAGATTGGAAGAGAGGGAGGAAAGAGGGAGTGAAAAGAGAACGGGAGAGACAGTCGAGGTTATTGGAAGAGAGAGAGAGAGAGAGAGTTGTTGATGATGATGAAGGAGAAAGAGAGGAAGGAAAAGAAAGAAGGCCATGGCAATAAAAAGAAAGTGAGATGAGAGAGAGAGAGAGAGAAGATAATTATGAGAGTTATGGACATTGATGATGATAATGATGACGAGATGATGAAGCCTTGTTTTCAATAGTCTCTATCATCATCTCTCTGTTTATCATCTCTTTCTTTTCTCTCTCTAGTTAATACTTTCTCCATCTAAGAATCAGATATTCAAACTTGGCCAACATTCAAATACTTTATGATGATAAAATTATCTCCCCTCTCTCTCTCTCTCTCTCATACTCACTCACTCTCACCCATTCTCTTTCTCTCACTCTCTCAGTGATGATGATGACCTAGCAAAGGTTTTTATTTACTTGATACAGATTAATGTTTATTCAATATTCACCAAGGCTCTAGACTCCGAAAGGACTCAAGAGTAACAAAGAGAAACGGAAAAGGAAACGAGGAAATGAGCGAAAAAAAAGAAAGAGAGTAAAAGTAATAATAACAAATCAAAGTGAGTTCAAGGACCGAGTAATTTATGATTATTTTAACTAATTGACTGACTATGGGTAAGGACAATTTACTAATTGTTGATAAATTGCGAAGGTTAAAATTAGCTTTTCAATTGATTTCCATACGATTATATTTGTATACATCAACAAGAACGAGGCAAAAACCAAAAAAAACCTATTAAATGGTCAATCAAAACAATCAACTAATAACCAATGGTTTTAATTGTTGTCTGTCAAACAAATTAAACAACAATTAAACTATTGAAAACATTGATAATCAAGGAAAAGTCAATCTAATGAAACTTGTAACCTTTTGGTTGATCAAAACTAATGAAAAGATTTCAATCTTTTCCCTTGAAGTTTTAATTGTTGGATTGTTAATCTTGATGATCAATTAGCAAGATTATCATTTCGATAATTAGAAATACTTACCTGGTGATGTAACAACAATTGAACAAAAAAGCGCAATTTCTGAATCGGTTAAATTAAGAGAATTGAGTCTTTCGGTGAAGGCGAACATTGAATCGATGAGAATACGAGCAGCGGCCTGAGAATGGAGAGATTCCCGTTGTAACAACATTCCATTGAGACAGATCATCGAATCGGTAACACTATCGAACATAAAAGCCAATCTAACCAAAAGAACCTCGAAAACTCCCGCTTTCAATAAAGTGACCTGATCTTCTTGAGGTAATAGACCGAAACCAGGAATTCGTTTGGCAAACTCGACAACACCTCTTATCGCGGGTGAAAAACGCTCACTAAAATCTTCCAGGCCACAGTCTGAGCCGTTTGTAGTTCCATGAGACGATGCTAGTGGTAATTGGGGATTCAATGGACACGACTGAGGAAAAGTTCAGAAAACAAAATCGAAAGAGAAACAAAAAGTTTGGTTATTATTATTTACGAATAAATTTAATTGGTAAATACAAGTATCGTTTCCTTTGCCAATGTATCGGAGTCACAAACATTTCTCTCTCTCTCTCTCTCCCTCTCTCTTTCTAGAGCTCATGTTTACAATATCATTACAGAGGATGATCAGGATGATAAGGAAGATGAGGGAAGGGAGAGAGACCAAAAATTTAGAACAAGGTTTTCGAGGTTAAAGGCCTTAGTGTACATGCCTAATGTACAAGGAAAGAGGAAAAAGTTTGTAATATTTTCACAAGTAGAAAAAAAAACTCTCTGGATTTTTGGGTTTTACTTTTGTAGCATAAAAATGTCTCGAATATTTTATTTGTAGGCCAAATAAGGCCAGAGTAAGAGAGACGCTTGTTGGATGTTGTGTGTGTGTGTACAGAGGGAAACAGGTCAGTTAATGGGAAAAAGTTTTCGAGGTCACTCTTTATACTTTTTTTCTTTCTCTCTTTTCTTTCTAGCCCGTGGCATGGACACATAGACACGAATATATTATTCCTATTATGATGAAATCGCATTAATAGTTTTTTTCCCTCAACAAAAGGCCAATGAAAATTAGGCCACTAGACAGTGACCGACCGAAAACATAATAACAACAACGGTCAAGTAAAAAAAAAAGTAGATCACAAGATCGATTATTTGAAAACGACGCTCGAGAAAATGAATTAATATCATTTGACCAAAGAAAATAATAGAGGTTCGGCACGGAGAGGAAAATGGACAAAGGTCAGTTTGGTAAAGTGAAGTGTATAAAGTGGACAGTTGGTGTTTGAATTGACCATTTGATTGTTATTTAGATGATCAACAATCAGAATTAAAACTCACCATTAAGCTTGAACATCGAGCATAAATTGGATTCTTTCGGCTTTTATCGATTAACGAAGTGACCTTATCCTTTGTATAATCGCAAGTTTCCTCGTGAGCTTTAATTATATTTAATAGAAAATATTTATCATCATCTAATTGTGATTGATTTTTTGATTTCTCGTGTTGGTCAGTTAATTGTTGCTGTCGTGAGTTATTATCCATTGGTAAATTGTAATTAAATTGTTGTTGTTTGTTCAATACCTTATCACGTTTGGATGTACGATCGTATCGATCTGATTAACATTTAAAAAAAGAAAGAGAGAGAAATTTAAAATCAGTACAATTAATTTAATAACTTTAATCAATATGTTAGATTGAACATTGAAACAATACAAACAACTAATTGCAATTAAATCTCTGACAATATAACTTGAAACTTGTAACTCAGACCAAAGATTTTCAATTAAATCTTCATGTGTGTGAGTAGTAACAACGGTGATAAACGAGGATGATGAGGATGATGAGGTTATTACGTAAGAGATTTTCAAGGTTATCAACGAGTTGATGGTGAGAGAGAGAGAGAGTGAGTGAGAGGGAGGGAGAAAAATGATGAAATAAAGAAGACAGAGAAGATAATTAAAATAGACACAGGGAAATTAGTCGAAAACAAAGAGTAAAAAATGAATGAGAAAAAAAGTTCCAATGGTCAAACTAATAAATTTTCATTGACCATTTACTTTATTTTCAACGAGTAATTTATTGTTATTGGTGAAAAATATTTAATCTAAATCAGGAAAAAATATCGGTATCGTTATAATCCTTCAATAGATTAATATTATTACATAAATAAATTAATGCGTCGTAGCTTTGGTAGCATCTTTCAGGAAAAAAATCGGATCGATATGAAAACTTTTTGTTGTACCCACGCAAAGATTATCAATGATCATGAAGGATGATGAGGATGAGTAGGAGAAGATGATGATAAATGATAAAGGTTAAATAACAAAATTCTAGGTATATAACATTAGGATATCATCATTACAGGGAGGAGAAATGAAAGAGAGAGAAAGAAAGAGAGAGAGAGAGATAAATTTAGCTGATTGGACATGAAGAGTGAGATTCAAGGTAAAGCAAGGAAAATGTTACAAGATGAAATGTAAGTCTCTAGGTCATTGAGGTAACATCTATGTAAGTACATTAATTAAGGTTAAATATTTGAAAGAGAGAGAGAGAGAGAAAGTAAAGTGAGAAGGATAAAGAGGATGGAGAGAGAGAGAGAGAGGGAGGATGAGGAGGATGAAGGATGAAAATGGATGTTAAAAGGCCATGGGAGGTGAAGTCAAGCAACCAGAAAGATAAAGAGAGTGAGAGGAAAAGTGACCTTGATGATAAACATTACAACGGTCAGAAATTGAAACGCTAATGCTTTTTACCCGGTGCGTCTCAAGTCAAGGCCTAAACTTAAGCTTATCTGATCAACACAAACACACACAATAGTAATAAGCACATAGACAACAACAACTACAGCCAAAAAAAAGGTCAAAATAAAGTCAAAATTACAAGGTAAGGTTCAAATACTGTTGAAAATTAACTTTCCAAGGTCAGGGGAGTGCAAATGAGGTTACAACTCCATAGGTTTGAGGTGAACACACAAAGAAACATGAAAATTAAGGTCAAGCATCAACAAAGCATCACAATAACAACAGCTAAAGGTTAGGAAAAAAAAGCGAAAGGAAAATAAAAGTTAACGATCAAAATCCTCAAGCCATTAATGGTAATCATTAACAACTGATTATATTAATTGTTTACCTTAATTGTGTTTCTTTCTGTTAAAATGTATTGGTAATAATGATGAAAAAAAAGTAACTGATAAGCAACGATAAATATCAACAATACCAAATGTTGAATATATTATGGATAACAATCAATTCACTGGATTATTAATTGTTTTCTAAGTGAATTAAACTAATTTTATATCAACAATCAAATTAAGTTGACTAAGTTTCATCATCTTAAGCTTGATATTAACGTTTCAATCTTTATCCAGGTCAAGGATAATCCCATTGAAATTATATTATCAATGGTAATCTGTATGTTTGGACAATCATTGTGATTCAAGTTTCAATGTGATTTAAGTTTACCGTTGTTAGTTTAATTGTTAGGACTTAATTTAACTATTTCCAAAGACCAATTAACATTTATCATAAACGTCATCGACCTTATTTATTAAATTGTTGCACTTAAATTTGATTATTATTAAATTTTCCCATTAACAAAAGGCTACCTGAGATATTATCATAATTGTTATTAATAAGTTTTTTTAGCTTCGGGATCAAGATTTGGGTTTGAGGAAACGTTTGAATTTTCAAATTGAAATTCAATTTCAATTTCAATTTTCATGAGTTGGATTCATGATGATGATGATGATGAGGGAGAAAGGTCATCATGATAAATGAAAATGAGAGAGTGAATTTATTTCCGCCATTTCCCAATTCAAGTTCATCTAAACTTCAATATATTCAAGGTCAATATTCATGTTACTTTTATAAGTTAAGTTATTTTCCAGGTAAATCAGTGAAAGAGAATGAAAAATTTATCTTCTCTTACTTTTACATCTTTCTTTTTCATCATCATTATCATCAATTTAACACTATTGAATATTAATCAAAGTTTAATATTTCTTGTTATCAATCAATATTATATTATATGAACAAGATGAACAAATTAAAAAGCTGATAACTTAATTTTCATCAATTAACATTGATTATAAATCATTTATCAATGATAATTAATCAATCAACTGATTGTAGACAAACAAATAACAATTACATCAACTTTTCACTATTATAATTAACTAATCAGAAAAATTTATCAAATCAAATTAAAATTGACACTTGGAAATATCACCAATCATGATGACGATGATTGTTAATTGTAAATAATTTACCATGAACCTAACAAACTATTAATTAATTGATATTTATTATCAATGTTACATGTGTTGGATTAACATAATTAATCAAGAAAAGAAGGTTAATTGTGATCACAATTAACAAATTAACAATAAGCAAATGATGATAATTATAAGGAAGGTCAAAAATTAGCAAGAAAAAAGTTTCAATTTTGTTCAATTCAGACAATTGACTGAATTTACTTTTAATATACTCAAGGTAAACTTGTGACAAGTCTCAATCTATGTCATTCAATTCATCATGATGATTCCTGAAACCTTGAATACTTTATGAGGCCCATGGATATTTGTCCAACTACAACAACAACAACAACAACGTTATTATTATCAACTGATAATAACTGATAATTTCTGGGAAAATTTTCTCACTCAAATTCAAGGTATATGTTCATGGAGAGACAAGAAAAAAAAACCTAGAAATTGAAACTTAACCATGTAAATGTTAGTCTATTAATGTAGTTAATTGTTGGATGACATTGAAGGATATTAAATGATTAGTAAATTCAATTTTATTATCATGGAAATGTTAAATATATCAAAAGTTTGATGAAAAATTGTATTCGACAAAAAAGAAAGACAAATTAAAATGATAAATCATATTCTTTATTATTGATTATTTTAATTGTCTTCGATTATATTTCATTTAATCAGATTAATCAGAAATCATCAGATAGTCATGATGGAAATGATTGTCATGATCAAAGATTAATTTTTCAGTAGAGAGAGAGAGAGAGAAAAAGAAAATCTCAATTGATTGAGATAATTGAGATGATAATGATTCTATATCAAGGTAATAGAATCAATTGAAATTATTGATTATTGAACTTTTTTTCTTCTTCTTTGTTCAATTGAAATCGACGATTTTTCCTCCTACTTTTCTATTGCGTTCTGACATTCGTCTCATCATCATCATCACCATGAGCTGATTCTCTCTGTAAACTTGAGTCAGAACTTTATCATTATCATCATGAGAATCCATGAGCATGAGCATGATGATCAATCTATTTATTATTATTTCCATTAAAGTAAAGCAATTGAGGTAATTATCCAATTGAACTTGACCTTCCACAGAATTTTTCTCTCTCTCTCTCTCTCTCTCCTTCATCATCATCATGCTCACTCTTCGTTGACTAACTGAGCATTTTCTGCTTCTGAGAAATAGATTCATGAGTATCTCACCAACATCAACAGAAATATCATTCTATCATTTAACCTTGACCTTTCTCGTTGATATTTTGCTCAAACTCAGTGAAATCAAGGTGAACATAAATGGGAATAAAAAAGAAAGAGATTCTCTTTCTTTACTTTCTTTTCATTTTCAAGGTTAATCTTCTCATCTCTGTCTCCAATTGTCTACTTTTCTTCATCCCTATCATCATCATCCTCTTTCATTTCTCTTACTTTTTCTCATCTCATTTTCCATGTAAAAAAAGATTAACATGATTCGAGTTGTTTTTGTTTTTCCTTTGTTTTGATTGATCTTATAAACAAATCGCTGCTCGATCATTTTAATTGTTTTAATCTCATTCTCACAATTTAAACAAAAACTCAGCTAATTAACTAAATTGTCGTAAATTAATTAGTCATATTGATGATTTAATCACTCCAATATCGTTAATAGTGCCAATTGAAAGGCGTTATTAGTTAGTAACGGTAAATAAAAACTCCCTCTCCATTTTCAAGTCTTTCCGATTACAATTATAATTAATTGTTGCTTTTTAATTATCATGATTAATCAAAACTATTTTCTTCTTACATATAAATTGATTGTGATTAAATTGTTCGGTTGCAAATTAATTAGTCAGCTGGTTGGATAATCAATTTCTTTCTTTTTCCATCTTAATCATGATTAATTGTTATCACATTTCAACTGAATCAAAAAGTTGATTAGCAATCAGTAATCGCAATTAAGGAGACAAATCAAATAAGTGCCAAATATTAATTAAATGATATAATTTAATTGAACAATTAAGATGAGCTAATCATTGATTGTTAACTTTTTGTTGCAAAGGAAGATGGAGAAAAATTAATTAATTAGGAATTTTTTTTTATTGAAGATAAAGTTTAACAATTAAGATGATTGGATTTAGCAATTTAGATTGTTAACAATTAGTTGATTGTAAATTCATTCGACAATTAAATCAATTGTTAATTGCACGAGATTTTCAAGTGCTTTAGTACTAATGAAAGAGGAGAAGAAGATACAAAAAAAGAAAGACTATTTCCAATTCTCTTTCTTTCTCATCATCATGATAATAAGAATTGTCTTCATCCTTATCATCATCATCTCTATTTATCTTCCTTCCAATCTCATCATCATCTAAATGCGGAAGTACCAAGGATCATGAAATCGACACTTAAAATCCTAGAACAACAAAAAAAATTTCATGATACTTTCTCATCTTCTTCATCTTCATCCTCATCCTCATCTTCATCATCATTCATTTACATGAAGTTACAAGGGTTGAATTGAATAAAAGTGATCAACTGATTATCAACAACAACAGGGAAAACAATTAATTGTTAATCATAGTAACATGATGATCATCATGAAATGAAAACGTTTCTCATCCAAACAATTAAACTAATTATCAACAATTAACAAGAAAATTAATATAAATAGACACTTGAAATAATAATGATCAACATGATAAATGATGATGATCATCATCTTAATCATGATATTTCAACATGTAATCAAACTGATTGAAAAGTTAACAATAATAATAATCAGTAACTCATTTGGCACTGAACTTGACTTTTGATTGTTCAAATCAAACATTGATTAACTTAATTGTTACCTTGAAAATGAAATCACAAATTTGATTGTTAATAATGAACAGAAAACAAATATAAATTGCTTAGGATTGCAGATAAAATGTATCAGGGAGGAAAAAGATTAACATGATTAGTTAATCATCATCATAATTAAGACAATTATAATTAGTAAATTGTTCTTCCCCTTCTTCAATATTATTCATATATTTCAAGTGCTAATTTAATGATTACTAATTGTTACTCTAATATTATTAAATTGATAATAATGTTGATCAACGTCATTAATGAAAATTAATTATCATAATTAGTATTTAATTAATCAATTGGTGAAATTGTTGTTGTTGTTAATTGTTAATTGTTGAGGTGAATTGGTTGGAAAACAATAAAGACCAAATAATCACAATAGGAAGCAAATTAATACTCAGTACAAATATAGACAATTAACTAATTGTTGTTGATCAACACGAGTTTAACCTACTATTATATGTGACAATTAATGTTGTTTGGATGTTTAATCATTTAGATATCGTTGATTGTGATTATTGTTTAATCACAATGACCTTGATATTGATTTACTAGTTTTTAAGCCTTACTTATGATCATTGTAATAATTTCAAATTAATATCAATGATTAAAATGAGCAGCTCACTCATGTCTCTCTCTCTCTCACTTGATTATCATCATTGATGATGATGATGATGACTGAAACATCAGCACATGATTTCAAAAGTGTCCTTAGCAACTAAATTAACAATCGTTAACATTTACGTTAATCATTGTAATTTATTATTGGTAATTTATATAAGAAGTGACAATTATCTTGATTGAAGAAAAAAAAAAAGTTCTGATCAGATTTCTGGAGTTTTCGTGTTTTTTGTTCAGAATTGCAAAATTTTCCAAAATTACATGATCAATATCAGAATTTAATATTTTTAATTCTCTTTACAATGTTTAATATTAACATAATTAATTCTTTTATTGTAATTACTAGATAACTAATTGATTGGATCAATCGAACAAGAAGAAGAAATGAAATCTTTCAAATTTATCGAATCTGTTTCTTTGGTTATTGGAAATGGAAGAAGAAAAAAAAGTTTCATCAAGAGAAAGAGAAGAAAATTTCATAGACTTTATCAGAATCATCATCAAGAGAAAAAGAGAAAGAAAAGAAAGAGTTTTATTCAAGTGAGAAACTGTAATCATTATCGATTACCTTGAGACGAACTGAAAATTCAAGGCCAACTCAGAATCTCTTCATCTTCTCTCTCTCTCTCTCTCTCTCTCTCTCTTGTCTTCCTCTTTCTTTTCTCTCTTACACTTTCCCTCTATTTCTGATGCTTGTATTATCGTATTCTTTTTGCCTCTAAAAAAGGTCTCTTGTTATCACCACAGTTTCACTCATTAATTTCATGATTCTCAGATTCATATTCTGATTGCGAACCATTAAAGGTACAATTTCCATGTTATTAGAACTTTTTATCTTCATTATATTTTCTTTTTCAGGCCTAAATAATTGAAAATTTATCAGAAGAAAATTCAAATTTTAACCTTGAATTTTCCAAGATGGAGAAAAATCATATTACAGGGAAAAAGCTCAGATTCTGATCCAATTTCATGAATACAATTTAACCGGAAAAAGTTACTAAAAAAATATACGTCAGAATTAACGTCAAACGCCCATGGAATTTTCTTTCTCTCTCTCTCTCACTCACCAGCTCACTCATCTTCATCACCACCAATTAGTATTTACCAATATTTTTATCCTGTTCAATGGATCATCATAATCATCATCACCATGAACATTACAGATTTATGATTCATTGGTAAACAAGTGATATATTTTTATTTGAATCAAGCAATCAAATGACAGAAACAATAATAACACAAACAAGATTTAAATGGTGATTATATATTAATCTAAGTAATTATAATTGTGATAGTAATTAACTAAATCATCATCATGTTATTTTGGTTATTATTTCATGGATATAAACAAATATTGAAGGGGAAAACATGGGAAGACATTGGAACGTGTTCAGCACAGGATTAGATTCAGTCAACAGGCATTTTCAATAGGGTGGGAAAAGGAGGGAGGGATGATCAACATGATGATAAACATGATGAGAATCAGAGAGAGAGAGAGAGAGAGAGAGTCGGTTAGATGATGAGTATAAAAATGTTAAGGGCAAGGTAACATGTATATAAAATGATGTTCAAGGTAAAACTGATATTTTCAAGGTTGAAACTCCAATGACCTTGACGATTAAATAAGCTACAATTAACCATGAGAATTACAATCAAATCATCATAGGAAAATGTGATAAAAGATGCTCATGATGATAATCATCAACATCCTATTTCATCAGAAGCAAAAACAATAATATTTTTTGATAAACATTCAATTCCAAATATAACCAGAAAACTATTGATTGGATTACGTTCAATTAACAATGGTTATTATTAACTACAATAATAATAATACTAACGGATAATTATCATTATTATATGAATAATACAATTAGTATTGATTTAGTTAATTTGTCTCCAATTAAAACTTGATCACAATTCATTATTTTATAATGTTATAAGTTTAGATTTGTTTGTTGTTGTAAATGATTATGATTTGTGAATGTCACAATTTGAGATTTAATCATTTTACAATTGGTTTGTTTGATTGTTTGAGATTAAATTGTTTGTGTTTAATTGAAAGGAAAAGATTAATTGATTATTGAAAGTGTTTAGTTAATAATTAAATTGATTACAATTACCGGTTGACGGAAACATCTTCAATCTTTTAATAAATCCAATAGTTTGGTGTCACTTTGAGAGTGATGAAAATGATGATGAGCTGATTGTTGATTGTTGATATTTAATCATGCAAATAACTGATGAAACTTGAATCGATCCGGATAAGATTATCAAGTTAATTAATTGTCAAAATATTTACTATTAATAAATTTTACACTGATCAAGAATCAATAAGATAAACAAATAAACAAAAATAAAGATGATCAACTTTATATTAATATGTTAACAGTTTTTGAGTTGAAGCAAAATTTTGAAGACAGATTAATGTTAATTCTGATGGTGATGATGATAATTTTGTTGATGATCAGAATGATGATGATGATGATGATGGTCTAAGATGAGAGAGAAAATGTCAGGTTGATCAGGTATCAGAACATTTCAAGGTAATAACACGGAAAACAGATTAACATGTATATTAACTTTTCGGTTTTCACAGGTAATATGAGTATAGTTAGAGAAGAGTGAGTGAGAGAGAGAGAGAAAATGAGAGAGAAGGTAAAATTTAGACAGAGGGAGAGACTAAGGTAGACAGAGAAGTAATTGAAGAAAGGTGAGAAATAGAAAGAGAGTGAGAGAGAAACAGAGGTAAATAAAAGGGAGACTAGGAAGAGAGTTAAGAAGAGAAGTGGTTAGAATGTGAGAGAGAAAGTGAATGGAGAAAATGAGATGAGAACTGAGGGAGAAAAAGAGAGAGAAATGAATTAAGAACAACTTTTTAAGCTAAGGAAGAGATTCAAGAATCTTGATGATGATGATGATGATAAAATGATAGAGAGAATGATAATTTTAAAAAGATAAAGTTAACAGTTGAAAAGGATAAACATCTAATTACCTGGTGTGTTAATCATCTTGGATTAGATTGTAATCAATATTATTATTTTAATCTAAAGACAATTAGCTCATTTTTTGCTGCTATTCGACTGTCGAAATTGTAGTTTATTGATTTTTCTCATTTTCTGTGTTTCTTCATTAAAGATTTAACTGTAAATTCAATTAGGAGAATATGATTAATATTATTATTCAACTTTCTTCTTGAATATTTTTCTACGCACTAAATTTCCTCGAGCTTTTCATTGACTCGAATTTGCTTTTTTTTATGTTATTTTCTCGAGAAAATAAGTCAACAACAACTGATGATGATTTGGATTCGAGGGATGATATAAATCGATACAAATAACATGCAGTTATTTTTATATTCGAGGGAGAGGAAGAGAGAGAGAGAGAAGTTTACCTCATTGGAGATTCGACACCAAAGGGAAGAGAAAGGGTTTAATATGGTGGATGGAATTAACTAGATAATGATATTAATGTTCAGCTGATGATGAAGAAGAATATGAGTTGCATAATTTGACTGAAAGAATGATGAAGGTTAGAAGAGAGAGAGAGAAAGAGGGAGGCAGGGGAGAAAAAGAAGATATTTAGACGATGATGAGAATATGAATCAAAGATGAAGAAGAAAATGAAAACTGAGAAAATAATAGAAGAGAGAAAAAAATTTCGTTCTTACCCAATTTTCGTTACCAATGATACACTGACTTTCTCTCTGTCTTTTTTCATCTCTCTCTCTCTCTCTCCTTCTTTCTCATCTTCTCTTTCTCTTTTCCTATTTAGTGGCCAAGGTCGAGGTTAAATTGGAAAGAAAGAGAAAAAAAGAAAGAGAAGATAAATATTTCAAGGTAACATTTTATTTCCGAAACTCAACCAGAATTTACTCTTCGAATATCGAAGAGATGGCGCCACGAACTTGACGAAAAGAGAAAAACATTTAACTCGATTCGAATTCATTTTCTTAATAATAAATAAACTCTCACCTTTTTTAATCTTCTAAACAATTAACTAAATCATTATTATCCCAAATCTTTCCAATTATTTTAATCAATTCTTTATCATTTAGCTTGAAATTAATTCAAACTCATTTCTATACTTTCGCCATCTGGTGAGAACAAAATAGACTAAACTGGTTCAGCTCGAAGTTAATTGTTAACTAATTTAATTTAGTTATCGAATCAGTTAAAAAGAGAAGGTAATTTATTTAAAACTAGATAATTGATCAATCAGATGAACAAATTTTCATTTGATTACAAAAAAAGACTTTTTTGACTGTCAGGAGGAAAGAAAATTTATTTTTCGAGCGACATCTCTTAGAGAAAAGTGTTTGTTATAATAATAATCATGTGCTTCGTTTGTTCATGTTTGAAGAATTTTTAATTTTTACATTATTATTTTTATAATTTAAGACAATAAAAATCAGATCACCGACACCCGCGACTCTCGAACGGCCTGAAACTCCAAGAACAACTAGAAGATCAACTAGGCTTGGGTTACAATAAATTGATTCTGTAAAAAGCATATTCCATTTTTGTTTATCTTCTTCAAGTTATCATATTCATCATGGAATTGGACAAGGATTGAATTCCGTTCTCGATGAACCAATGAGAAAAGTTGCCAATGAATTTGACGATTAACAAAGATTTGAGAGATTATTGGATTGACATTTTACCTTTTCCTTCCAATTTACGAATCTCAATCTTATTAATTTCCAATTGGACCATTTAGTTGATCGATTGATTGTTCGTAATGATGAATCTTGAACGTGTTTTTCTATTCGCGTAACGAACATTTTCAGCGCGAACGGAGTTTCGTTATTTCTACCACTGATTCTTTTTCCATTATTATCTATCTACGATTTAGAATAAGACAAATCGACTACACATTTTCATGGTCGTTTTATTTGTCCAATTCTCGAATTCGAGCCTTTTTACCTACTTTTCATCCTTTCTATGGTGACCTTTCCCGTCAACGTTTCATCTCTTCAATTAAATCACGAAGTTCATCTCCGTTTTCCCATGTTAAGAAAAAGAATGGAAATAAATTATTATAATTAGAGTTTCTTTAATTACAATTAAGTTTCCCAATTGATTTACAAAAAACAAACAGTTTACCAATCACAATGTAGATGATTGTGTTAAAATGATTAAAGTTAATTGTGAAATTTTTCCGAGAGATAATTGTTACAATCACAATTGGTACTTTCTAATTGTTAATTAACAAATAATTAGAAGGAAACAAAATTAAAACCATTTAAAGAGGTAGATTGATGAAGATAAACAGAGTAATATGAATCTCTCATCATTTTAATTGTGCCCACAGTTTAATTAGATTAAATTGTGGTTCTTTTGGTTTTGTTTTTATCTCTCGTTAATTAATTAAATACCTTGATACAAGATTTTAGTTGATACCTGTTGATTTATTAATATTTTTTTGTGTTTATTTGATTTTAAATTGTTATGATGATTTGTTTTGGGATTTTTTGTTTGGTTTGTACATTATGAGTGAGCATAGTTTTTTTTTAATTGTGTTAATTGTTTATGATTTAAGGAGATGATGATGATGATGATGATGATATTTAAGGATTTAATTAGAAGGATTAATGAGATTTCATTTTCTTTAATTTCTTTTTATATCTTATATAATTTATCTTTTTCGCCGCCAATTGAATAGATTTTCAAAATCCATTTCAATGGAAATCCTTTTCAGCTGATGATCAAATATGAAGATGATGATGATGATGATTTAAAGATTTACATGTAAAGAAGATCTCGTTTACGACTTAAATCTAATGGTGGGGGCATAGAATCACCCACTCTGATACCATCAGCGGGAGAATTGTTTCCACCGCCGCCGCCGCCGCCAGTGCCTTTGATAATCATACTGTGTAAGAGATCACATCTTTTCATTGGGGCGGGTGAAAGTGAAGTATAATTATTATTATTGTGAGGAGGTGATGATGAGGATGAGGATGAGGATAATGAAGATGAAGATGAAGAGGTACTAAGATGACGAGAGGAAAGATGACTATGATGAGAAGGTAAATCGCCAATATATCTTGGTGCCGATTCCAATACTTTAACCAAAGTTGAATGTGTTGATGCCAATGAATCACAATCATTATTGTTACTTGAAGGTGATGATAGACAAGAAGATGTTGCTGATGAAGATAGTGAAGATGATGAGGTTGATGTTGGTGATGCTAGACAATGATTAGTATTATTATTACTATTACTGTGGACAATTGATGTGCTCGAACTTGCTGGTTCACAGTCTCGAGAGGTTTTCGTTGCTCGAAACTTTTTATGATGTCGATACGCTTCATCCATCAGCATATTGGTATTAATCAATGGAGGCGCTTGAAGTGCTCGTTTTAACATTGGCATATCATCAATTGATTCATTGGTGGTTATATTTTTCTCTGAGAGTGTTGAACACTCAGAATCGGAGACAATATCTTTCACTTTATCATCGCAGGCAGATCGAGGACTAGAACAGACTGAGGCTGTCGGTGTGCTACCATTACATTGCTCTTTACCGCTTTCGATTCCCGAATCGGTTGGTGAATCAACTCGACGCATCTTTGTAAATACATCATTTGAATTATTGGTAACTGGGCATTTCTTTAAATTGTTATTATCATTGAAATAATTATCATAATGGTTATTATGATGATGGTTATTATTTTCTTGATAACGATGATGATTAAATGAATTGATTAAATTATCTCGAGGGCAACCAGATTTGTTATTATCTCTCATCTTATTGTTTATATTTGAACTGGTATCTATTGTTGAATTAGTTGATTGTTGAAGTAATCGTTGACCAAGAATAAAATGATTTGCTAATGATGAACTGCTATTTGAGGTGTTATTTTGTTGATTGTGACCATTTAAATGATGATGATGGTGATGATGATAATTAGAGTTTGTATAATGATTAGTACTATTGTTATTATTATTAGAGTTATTATTTAATCCGTTGGCACTTTTAGTTGATTTGGTAATTAAAATGTGATCTGATGAGGTTACACTGTTCCTATCATATGATCCTGGTGATGATGATGATAAACTTTCATCTTCATTTAAACCATAAGATGAGCTATTGGTGTTAATGTTATTTGAATTATTGGTGTTATTGGTCGTTCGCGATAATAATGATGAATTAGATGAAGATGAGGATGAAGATGAAGATGATGAAGTAGGTCCATCGTTATTGTCCCGAATCGTGAAATTTTGCCATTGAACGGGTAATAATGAGGCATATGAACAGGTAGATGTTGTATTCATATTTCCAGGTGAGTTACAATTTCTGTCTCCGTCTGAGCTACTATTGCTGTTACCATTGTGATGATTTAATGATGAAAGTGATGATGATGAAATTGGTGATACAGGTGATGAGGATGCTGATAAATTATGATAACCATTTGATTGTTGTTGATGTTGTTGTTGTGATTGTTGTGATTGTTGACCATTTTTAGGACCCATTTTGAATGCTAAAAGTTTCTCTGAATGAAGTGTATTTAGAGTTCGAAGGTCGGGAATTTTTTTCTTAAGTTCACTGAATAGACCAGGATTATCGGAATGGTTTGAAATGATTGCTTTCTGAAGGAGATCATCCAATTTACGGTGAATCTTTTGAACTAGATCAGTATTACGAAGACCAGGTCGATCGGGTGAGATGACAACAACCGCACAGAAAAGGGCAATCTCATGATCGGTTAATCCAAGTGCATTGAGCATCTCAGAGAAACCAAACATTGAATCAAGTAAAAATCTAGCACTTGATTGTGAATGAAGGGAATCACGTTTAAGAACCATTCCGTTTAAACAGATCATTGAATTGGTCGATTTATCAAACATACAAGCCAAACGTACTAAAAGCACCTCGAAAACACCCGCTTTGAGTAAAGTTATCTGATCGTCTTGGGATAACATTGCAAAACCGGGGATTCGTTTAGCAAATTCAACGACACCTCTGATGGCGGGTGAAAATCTTTCACTAAAATCTTCCATAACACCATCAGGTGGACCAACACCACCACCATTTTCAATTGAGGGTGGAAGTGGATTCAATGGACAGGCCATTGTTGATGGACATCGAGCGTAAACTGGATTAGCTCGAGCTTTCTCAATTAACGGGATAACCTTTTCCTTGGTATAATCACAGGTTTCCTCGTGAGCTTGTAAAATATTTAATAACAATCGACTTTCATCTTCCAATTGTTCAGTTAATTGTTTCTCTTGACAATTAGCGTTTACCTTTTGCATGGCTGCGAGTATTTTAGCCTTTTCACGTTTTGGTACACGTCCAAATCTAACAGCGTCACGAGACATTCCAACAGCGATACACTTTTTTAAACGACAATATTGACATCTATTCCGATTTATTCTGAGGATTGAACATTGTTGATTTTTAGTACAGGGTCGATATTGAATTTTCTGTTGAATTGAACGACGAAAGAAACCCTTACAACCCTCACATGAATGAACACCATAATGAAACCCTGAGGCTCGATCACCACACACACGACATAGAACTGTGGTTCCATCAAATTCAATTTTTAATTCACTGTCTTTAAAACTTGAATCAGCTTCCGAAGTGATATTCGTATTTGACATGGATGATAATAACTGTAGATCTTTTTCACTCAGAATCATCATTGTGTCTAAGATGATAATTGTTAGTACATTTAAATTGTTAGAATATTAAATAATATATATAATATTTAGAGAGAGAGAGAGTATTGAGAGTGAGATGAGATTTACACAGAAAAGCAAGTCTAGTAGTTGTGGATCACTAACTTGAACTGACAATCGTTTTAAACCAAGAGAAAAGAGGAGGTGGCAAAATGGGAGAGTAGGAGGGAACCTACAGAGTGGAAAGTGGAAAAGAAAGAGAAAAGAGAGAGAAGAGGAAAAGATAGACAGAGGAAGAAGAAGAGAGAGATGGAGAGAGGCAGACAGAGATGAGGATGGAGAGAGAGAGAAGATAAAAAAAGAGAGAAAGAGTAAGAGGGGATATAAGGGGTGGTGTGTGTGCGTATGTATAAGGTGGACTGACTACATTTCACAAAAATCATTCCAAGGTCGATGAAATTAAATCTCTTTCTTTTTTATCTTTCTTTCTCTTTACTCTCTCTGCAATCAAATCAAAGGGAAAAAAAGTGAGTTCAAGGCTACATGAGATCATTGATCGCAAGGATGATGATGATGATGATCAAGGGAGTGGGGAGTTCTAGTGTAGTAGTAGTAAGTGTAAGGGAGTGAAATGCAAGGGGAGGCAAAGTAAGAGGGTGGATGACAAGAATCTTCATCATCATGTGAAAGTGAAAGTCTCTTATTTTGGTTTCTCTTTCTCTTTCTCTTACAAATATTATTTATATATTTATACATATAATCATTACCATGATAATGATATTATTCATTGGATTCAGAACTTTTTTTAACTCTCTCTCTCTCTCTCTCTCTCTCTCTCTCTCTCTCTCTCTCTCACTCCTTATTAACAAGACAACTGAATTTAAGTTTAATTTGATCCAAGGTTAACTTACAATTAACTATTTTACCTGGAAAGTTCATTGGATGTGAACATTATCATGATGATGATTATGATCAACTTTTTTTTCAAACATCATAAACAAATCATTTGATGTTAATAGTGGCGTAAATTTTAATCATTATTAACCATCAATGTCAATGATACCCAATAATATATTTATTGTAACTAAGTTTCAATTTAATTGAGTAACAATTTATTCACCTGATTATCCTGATTATCAGGATGATACATTGTTACCAGAAAGTTAATTTTAATTATCTGTGTGATTTTATATATACACAATTATGTGGTGTTGATGTTCATGTGAGTTTGTTTGGGTTTGTTTATATTGAGCTTTTCGTCGGTGGGAAATTGTAAGGAGAGGGAGGGAAGGATAGTGAGAGATAATTTCTAAGATGATGATAAAGAAAAATTGAGATGGATGACAATGTAAAACCTTGAAGATGATGGATAGGAGAAGATGAATATATCTCTTCAACATCATCTTCCATAGAGAAGGTCACTGAACAGAGTATCATAGTGACCTAGGAACAGCGATCCTTGGGAACGCACTTGAGGCTACTATAAACATCTCTCTGTGAAAATTTCATGTAAAGGCGAGAGAGAGAGAGAGAGAGAGAGAGAGAGAGAGAGAGAGAGAGAGAGAGAGGAAAGATGGAGGATGGCGGATGGAGTGGAAAAAGAGAAAGGCTAAAAAAGGTAGAAAGAGAAAAACGAAAGTGATTTGAAAGAGAAGATGAAGAAAAAGATGTAAATGGACTAATATGCTCTCTTTAGCTCCTTATTAAACTTTCTCCCTCACTTAATCATCCTCATCATCATCTTCCTTTCCTTTTTCATCTTCTTATATATTCAAGGCCATGGCCAATGGCCTCCGTTAGGTCCTTATGTCAGTCTTAAGCTATATCAATATAATATAATCAAAACCTAACGGAGTTTTTTACACAAAAGACGGAAGTCTCTCTCTCTCTCTCTCTCTCTCACTCTAACTTTCTCATTCATCTTTTTCATCATCTTCGTTTTCTGATATAACGATAACATATATCGACATTTATTGCTCCCTTAACCTTGCATCACACAAATATTACCTTGAAAAGGAAAACAGATTCACAAAGAGAGAATGTAAGAGAGAGAGAGAGAGAGATACTTTCTCATTCTCATCCTCTTTCTTTTACTTTCATTTTATCATCATTTCCTCTTCATCTTCATCTTCTTGCCCTTTTTAATATTATAACATTTTTCCTTAGAAAAAGATAAGAAGAAAAAAAAATTCTAACCTTATAATATATTAGATAAAGTAAACAGGCTCTATGGTACATCAAAAGGTTAAAGATGAGGATGAAATTTACATTTCTACCTTTTTTTTCATCATCATCGTTTCCCCTTCATGTCCAAACACGTTACAAGAAACCCGCGCGTTTATCAATAAGCACGTGAAAATGAACAATAAACAATGGCAATAAAAAAGGTATTAACCTTTAATAGTAACACTTTTATTGAAAATTGATTCAATTCATTTAGGTGACAGTTAAACCTCATAAATTAGATTAAATATATTATCATCATCGTCATCATTTATTGTTATCAATTGTTAATCGTAAGAAGATATTATCATCATCATCATCATCATCGTCATCATCTATTTGTAACTCTTTACCTTTTTCCTGTAACCTTCAACCTCTCTCACTCTCTCCAACCTGTGATAAAATGAAAACCTCTTTATATCCCCTCAAGGTTAACAGTAACCTAACCTTTAACCTTGATAACCTTGTTACCTATTATTCAGGATAACCTTTTATTATAACTTTCAATTTCTATTCATTGAAACAAATCAATGAAAATCTCAATGGGTAATAATATTTTACTATCTATTATTAGGCCTTTTCTAAAGGATAAGGAAACAAAATTTATTGCCTCTCAAAATTTTCACTTTTTCCTCTCGACCCTTTTTTATATCCACTGGACATTGGTCATCAAAGCATAAGAATAGGTAGAATATGTTACTCTCTCTCTCTCTCTCTCACTCTCTCTTTCTTATAACGTTACGTTTTTGTTTTTCTTCACGTGCTTAAGGTAAAGGGAGGAGGAAGAGAGTGTTCATCTTCATCATTATTAGTTTAATCGGTACAACCTTCTGGTCATTCAGTGGTCATCATCATTGTGTGTGAGTGTCTAAAGTTTCACTTGAAAGATTGACAAGAAAGTTGTAATACTAATAATGATTCACTAATAACCTTTTATTAGAGTGAATGAGAGATCAAGAGGAAAAGGAAATGAAAAAGATTCTCAAATTTTGGAAATAATTTTTTTTCTTTCACTTGAAAGCAAAAAATTTTCTCAAACTACTGACCAATCCATCAGTGTGGTCAGTAAGCAGCAAAGTTCGAGTTGAAATATAAGACTTCTGGTTTGTTATCTGATATCATCTTTTAATACATATAACCAAAGACACAAAAACTCTTACGGTCAATCGTATATTCAAATGAAAGGACAAAGGTGATTTTCCTAATAAATATTAGCCCTAAGGCCCAATTTATGAATAATAGCTAAGAAAAACATAGAAGACTAATAAGTGGACAATATGTATAAGAGGTCAAGGAAAGAAAAAGGGTTGACCTTTATGTCTGTGAGACAAAATCACACACAAACAAATGAAAAGTAAACATTTGATTATTACAAGAAATGACCACGAATAATGGTCAGTCTTAACTTAAGGTTATTCAACTGAATGCATATAAATACATTTGGAAAACACGTTTCCATGTAATTATTTTCTTCCTTCTTCCACCCCCACATACATAATCCTTTCTCAATATCAATGTCAAACACATTGGAGTGGTCAGTTTATGGAGGCGAAAGGGATAAAGAAGATGAAGAGAAAGAAGAAAAGAAAGAAAGAAAAAAAGAAAAGTTGTTAAGAAGTTCTTATGTAAACGCGATTAACCCTGAAAATCGGATAAAGGTTAACAGATTTTACAGATGAAGATAAGATGATGATGAAAGAGAGAGAAATAGTAAGAGAGAAACAGTTTCTTTCTTCATCTTATCTTCATCTTTCTTTGTCCAATGTCCAGTTCAAAGTTATATCTTGATAAGTTTGATTTGTGCCTCACTTTTCAATGTTTTGTTTATTTTCTTGTTATCAACTCTAATCTTTAATACTTTTTACATTGGTATCTCTTTCCATTGGTCAGTGTCTGTATTGACCAGAGGGATTTTCACTTTCTCTCAATGTAAACCAAGAGGAGAAAAAAAGTTTTCTTCTTCCTCATCATCTTCAAAACAAATTGCATTTCATTGTATCGACGATATTATTATAACAATGAAATGAAAATAATGATTCAACTAGACAATTGATTGTGATTACAAAAGTTTACTAACCCGTAATGATACAATGTAATAATGATATAATATAGTGATTTAAATCAAGGCTAATAAATGATAATAAGAATCACCTTGATTATATTTTCAATTATCCCATAGTAACATGATAATATTTTTATAAATATACTGGTAACAGATTAAGTTTTTTACCTTTGGTTAAACTTAAAGTGAGGATTAGGATAAGAAAGCAATAAGTTAATCTGATTGAGTGATAACCACCATTGGTCAGTGACAGTTGACAAACAGAAAAAAATAATAACATCAACAACGTAAAAGTGATTGTGGTCAAGAAGAAAATTAAAAGAAAAGGTTCAATTTGTCAACTACCCACGTTAAGTTACATGGATTAAAGTTTTATCAGATTACGGATTAATAACATAGTAATGAGCAGTAATCATGAAGGGGTGAAAGATAATCGTGAATACTTGTAACATGGAAAGAGAGAGAGAGAGAGATTAACATGGATGATAATTGTTCATAATACTTGGAGAGAGACTGAGGGGGGGAGGTTGTAAAAAGAGGCAATATCTTGATGTTTCCAAATTATCATCATCATCATCATGTAAGATCAAAGAACCAGAGAAAGAGAAAGAGAAGAAAAATTTTTCTTTCTAAAATGATGATAAGGATGATGAGAAGTGGAAGAATAGTGTTAGAAGGTTATTGACCAAAAGTGTTTACTGGATCGATATATTTCTGTATCATCTTTTGGGTAAGAGATGGAAAGAGAGAGAGAGAGAGAGAGAAGAGAAAACAAAGAGAGAGAGAGAGAGAGAAAGAGAAAGAGACTGGATGATGAAGAGAGTGAGAATGATGATAAAATAAACGTAGGATCATTCACCTAAACTCAGGGAAGCAGAAATGTTGTTAC